ACAACTTCATTTGGTGTTGTGGCTCTTTTTTTTTGAACACAACTTCCTGGAATTTCTAAGCTATTTTTATTTACTCATCAGCCAACAAAATTTAGATATCTCAACTAAGCCAAGAAGACAAAGACAGCCGCCACTACCACCACCACAACTTTATCTGAATGCGAGGTTGCAGAGTTGTTAAGGAAAAGGTTAGGATAGCCGTCAAGCGTTTAGCATTAGAAATTTATTAACATTTTTATTAGGATGTTGTTTTTTTTTTTTTGGTTCTGCCTTTTGTTTTGTTTGTTTTGAAAACAATCTGTGTAAGATTTTCGTCAAACAGATTAACGACAAGCTATTAAAGGTAATTTGGCCACATTAAAGTGGAAATTTGGACAATTTAATGTTTTCGGTTTGGTAGTTTATTTTCGTGGTAGTTGTTAACATAGCAATGAGTTAATATGGGAGGTTGTTGTTTTTGTTGTCGTATGGCCAGATAATAACATCTTGAAGTCTTCACAAGAATTGTGCTCTTGAGATACTGAAATGGGCATGCGTTAAATTAAAACAGGTTAAAAAGTGGCAGTCAGTTTTGTCGACAGATGCAAACCCACAGCCAGTGTTCGATTATTCAGATATATTTTGACTTCTGTTGTGATTATTCAAATTGAAGACCCTCTATGGACTAGGTTCCGAAGGAATGAGCCAATATTGTCCATTTTGTATGGGACCTAAATAAATATGATATGCATATTGCGATGTATCAGGTTTGGACTATATTGGTTACTTCCTCCATTTCATATGAGATGTGCGATCATTTCTAGAAAATGTTAAAATGTGCGTGAGGTACCAGATATAGTAAACCGAAGTATTCCATTTTCATACTTCATCTAATAAAGATAAAAATATTGGTATGAGCAAAACAACAAGAAAATCGAATAGAATCCCATGTTCATCTTAGGTTTCTGGTTGACAGAAATATTTGGATATAGCATAGTTGTAAAGAATAGCTGAATTGTTTCAGATATAGTCGACCATTTATATCAAATTTTATGCGAGATCATAAATTCCATATTCATCAGAGGTTTCTGATCGAGAGAAATAGTTAGCTGTAAAGAATCCTTGACCTGCGAATTATGACAGATACAATTATTGAAAATTGTGACCCTTTGTGTGTGATGTACAAGAAGGGGTTTACAGGTACATATCATCTTCACAACAGATCATTTGTTAGCAAAAATGTTTGTTTTCGCTTTCTTTGAGCGTTTTGTTTTTCAAGGACCGATATATACCACCTTCGCAGCAGATTTTGTGCTAGTAGAAATAACTGGATATTTATTTCGGATTTTATAATCGTTTTGGTTATTCCAAACTTTTACCTTGTAAGGGGGGATCGGTAAAAGAAGGAATGGTCCGGTCTCTACCATCTGTGTTGATAGAAATATTGAGATGTGCCAAATCTGAATGGAATCGGATGTTAATTTCGCATTTTATGACCTTCATGGGTATTCAAAATGTTGACCCTGGTGGTACCAGTAGGAGTGGACCGATATATTCCATCTTCACATCAGATCTTGTGTTAGATGAAGTAATGGGATGTGTGTGATTTGAGGACAATCGTACTCTTACATCACATTTTATAAGAGTTATAATTATTCAAAATGTTTATCCTTTGTGGGAGTGGTACTCGATGGACGGATGGACCGATATTTTCCATTTTCTTACCGGACCAAGCACTAATGCAGTAATTTTTTTTGTGAAATGTTAACCTTTAGTGAGGTACCAGATGGAGTGGACCGAAATTGTCCATCTCCGAACTCGATTCACGTTTGATAATAATATTGCGATGTATCCAGTTTGAACCAAATCGGATACTCCCATCGAGAGATATCGTGCGCACAAGCCAACAGACAGGTAGACGTACGGACTTCACTAGATCGACTCCAAATGTTCTGAAACTGATTTGGCCGTATAAAATTATATATACCATCTTTAGCCATATGGCTGAGGGCCGAGGTTTTGATACCCTCCACCATTTGCAAAGAACTTTAAAAATTTCAAAAAAAACTAGGGTAAGTGTGCCCAAGTTCGGCATGTCCCAGTAGTCGGCACTTTTTATTTTTAAGCCCAAATAAATGAAACTATTATAACTAAATGTATTTTGTTTACTTCAAATATATTGTCAGCTATCTTTGTGTACAATTTCGCTAAGAAAAGATGATTTATTCTAATAAAAATTAAATTTTTGTCTGTGAAGGTCCTCAACAATCCGTATTCTTAAGAAAAGTACAATAAAGACGTCGAATCAGTTCAACTAAACAAAAATATTATATTTTAATGAGTTAATTTATTATTATTAATTATTCTTACAAAAAATTTGGTATGCCGACTGTTGGAAAATGCCATACCGACAATTGGCAAGTAATGCCGACTACTGGCAAAAAAGCATTGTTTTAATAAAACTACAAATTTATGAAATGTAATAAAAAGATATAAAAACTTTATTTATTATTGCAAAAACTGTACAAAATTTCGAATCTGTATAAATTAACTTTGTAATAATTGAAATGTTCCACTCAGAATGGTGAGAGATTAAAAACGCGAAAATCCTAAAAGTGCCGACTACTGGTACACTTACCCTATATACGTTTAAAAATACCGCTTTATGAAAACTGTTATATGGTGGATACACGAAGACGCGGACCTGCATAAGTTTTTTTTTTGGCTAGGCTATAGTATCGATAGCGAAAATCAAATACGAAATGTGAAACAATCTGGCTTAATAATGTTTTTAATATCATCAAAACAACGAATATTGGTATGTATCGTAATTTGAGGTCTATACGAAGACGTGGACCTGCATATACCATTTTCAGTCAGGGGTTGTATCAACCAATAAGATCTTCAAATACGAAATTTTAAACAATTCCGTTATATAATGTATCTAAATTCTTAAAAAGAACCGAATATTGGGAGGTAGCGTTATATGGGGGCTATACCTGAATGAGCAAACTTTCTGTCACAGGATGTAGAACACATTAGGAACTTCAAATTTCAAACTGATTTTCAAACTGAAAAGTTTGTCACAAATCATCAAAATACCGAATATTTGGAGGTACAATTATATGGAGACCATATCAAAACTTTGACCTATATTGTTTGACCAGTTCTATTCAAGGATGTTTTTTACATAATGGGAACATATGCTGCCAATTTAAAGCAAATTTGGGTTAAAACTGTGACTAAAGCAGAGAATAAAACCTACAGCTATATGGAGACTATACCAAAACGTAGATTAATATTGCCATTTTCAATACCAAAAGTCCTGCAGAACACACACATATCTCAGTAAAATTTTATCAACCTATTTCATTTTGTTCGGAAGCTAGAGTGATTTCCACAGACGGACGGACGACGCTAAATCGATATAGAATTTTATGCTGATCAAGAATATACATACTATGTGGGACCTAACGGAATTACTAACTTAATATACCCACCATACTATGGCAGAGGGTATATTAAGTAAAAAACTCAACCTCCACCACTTGAAAAGATTTTGGTAATTTTCAAAAAAATAAAATCTATTAAAAAGTCAGTAAAAATCTTAAAATACGACGACGTGGACCTGCATAGACAACTTTTGTCATAAACCATAACAATACTCAAATGCGAAACTTGAATAAAGAAATTCGGTTAATAATGTAGCTAAAATTATCCAAATATTGAATATTGGGAGATACCGTTATATGGGGGCCATACGAAGACGTGGACCAGCACAGACAATTTTCTGTAATAGGCTGTAGTATCCGTTACGAACTTCAAATACCAAATTCGAAATAATTCCGGTGAATAATGTCGCTTAAATCACCAAAATGACGAAAAAGGGAGGTACCATTATATGGGGGCTATACCAAAACGTGGAGCTACATGGCACATTTTCAATACCAAAAGTCCTGCAGACATAATACATATTTGAGTAAAATTTTATTAACCTACTTCATTTCGTTCGGAAGCTAGAGTGATCTCCACAGACGGATAGACGGACGAACATCGCCAAATTGACATAGAATTTTATGCTGATCAAGGAAATATATACTTTGTGGGATCTAAAATGTATATTTCGAGGTGTTACAAACGGAATGACAAATTTAATATACCCTCCATACTATGGTGTTTTTGAAGTCATCCTTCTAAAATAATGCTTTGTTGGAGATTTTTGCACAAACTCACACAGTTTGTTTGAGGTGTGCTGTTAGCATCCTATCTGTTATGTTCTTAAATATGTTCCTTTTAACGACACCCAGCGGGATTGGGTTAAAATAAATTAGTTTTAAATTCCTATTGAAGATCTCCATTGGAGTGACAGGTTTACCTTTATTGCGTGGTCCACACAATACCTTGTTTATTTGTTAAACCCATATATTGAGATATACGCAGGAATGTCCCCAGTTAACCCCAGTTGAAATTCGCTAAACGTATAAAAATGTAGAAAAAATCCTCCAAATCGTGCTATCCACCCAGTCGTATGTAGGAAGCGACAAAAATCAACTAAACAATAGCAAACCTCTGAAGAAAACCACTGACTTCTTATCAGACATTGCTGCTGGTAGCCATCTTGGACCGGAGCTACCCCAAGAATCTATTAATATATGATGGTTTAATAAAAAAATATAGCGGCACGGGAATGCAATAAAATTATTTATTTTGTTTGGAATTTGAAATAGGTTTTGCATTTTCTTTTCCAAAACAATAAATATGGCGGACGACATATGACGACATAAGTTCGCGCTACTATCACGTCGTGTGTGTGAAATGTTCCACAAATAAAATTTAAACAAAACATTAACACTATATATGGAAAAAAATGGAAAAAAAAATGTCGGCATTTGGATTAAAATATTAATAACACGAACACACACACACACACACATGCGACAATAAGCGATATAGCAACACAAATTAATAATTTTAAATAACTTCAATTTTGTACTAAAAAAATGTGTTGTGACGTTTGCAACCTCTGTTGCGGCAGATAATAATGTAGAGCGCGATGAATTACTTTGGGTCTCCTCGTTGAGATTATCGATGGCGGTGGTCATTGGTGGTGGTGTTGGTGGTATTGAGTAGATATCTGACCAATAGACCAGCAAATAACACTTGAAGATATACATCGATACGTTTATTATTTTAAAGTGCAGATATTTAAACAAGAATTTTTTTTAATTAGAAAATATACACCAGAATTGGGGTCTGAATATTTCATAAAAACAAATTAGTTGTTAACGAATTTCGAAGGAATCAAGGTGTAATAGCGGCGGAAAGATCAACGTGAAAAAAAAAACACATTTAATGATTTCTACTATACAAGACAAATCAACGATAGAAAATATTTGAAAATCAACAAAAGAAAAAAAGGTGTTAAATTTTTTAATAAAAATTAAATAAAAATTTTTCAAAATGATTGAACACACAGAGAGACGTGGCAAGAGCCGACCCCAAATCTATGCAACAATACCAGGTAAATATACAATTTCATTAAAAGTGTTACGAAAATCTGAAGCAAAGAATTTTTGAGAAGTATTTGAGAACATTTTTTGATATGTATGAATAATGAATGTTGGTGTGAGAAAGTCGAGGAAAATCAATTATTTTATTCCACAACACCATGTGTTGTAACACATCAAAATTTGGTCTTAGACCCACAATGTTATATATGTCCTGTTGATGTAAATTTGAAATCACGCTACAGGTCGCAATTATGGCTCGATCCTCACGAAATTTGGTTTTAGAGTGTGAAATGACCAAAAAAATAAACAGAAAAATTGGTTTATTTTTCAATTGCTCTGCAGGTCACAATTATAAATCGAGCGCAACGGAATTTTCCGTGGGGTAAGGGCAGGAGTCTACCAATTTGGTTGGTCATTGGATAGAAATGAGATGGTGGAATGGGCCATATCTTTTGTGTAGCAAAAATACCAACATTTCCTTTTATCTGTGAATATTTTTTCAAAATTGTAAATCAAATTAAAACAAGTAAGCAAAGGCTACAGTCGAGCGTGGCCGACCGTTGAATACCCTACAACACAATAATAAACGATACAGATTATATATGCGAGATACTCGAAAGAATTCCACAAGATATTGTGACAAATAATAAAAGAAAACCATTAGGTTTCGTTCTCTAATTTTCGAAAAATAACAACTTAAACTAATTTGCTCATTTCCAATTTATTGGAAGATGTTGCACGTAAATGGTCTTCCTTGATCTGGAACAAATATTTCCCAAAGACCTATAATCTCTCAGAAGCGGCAAAAGATTAACATTTATTATTGGTTTTTGACTGAAACGCATCTATATGAGATACAGACATTCGACTATATTCTTCAATGAAATCAGCGTTAACGAAATAGTCAGAAGTGCGTCTTTCCTGTATTTCTGAATTCTCCAAAAATTCACTGGAATGGTCATTTTCGTATTTTGTCTACATAAGTTGGCAAACTATTTCACACATTGGATATTTTTGGATGGCCATCCAAAACTGTTTGACTTTTGCAATGTCCGGTAACTCCCGTTCAAATGTGCGTGAGGATCGGGCGATAATTACGACCTGCTGACTATTTTGCAGTTTTTTGGTCCATTTCAACCCCTAAATATATGGCGATCATCTTCAAAAAGAGTAGGCTTCTAGATAAGATCGGGCCATAAATGCGATCTGTATATGATATCCTAACTACTTAGTTTTGTTAGCTGTTTAATGTTTAATTAAAAATGAAAATATGCCAAAAATATGACAAAATTGAAAAATATGAGAAAATTTTACAAAATCAATATTTTCATCTTTAGAGAGATATTTTTATGCGATTTTTTAGACCAAGAGGCCATTCTAAATTAATGAGAACTGTCGAAATCAGTTCAGCCGTTCTCGACATATAAGAGATCTTTCAAGCATATCTTCTTTGATAGACATATATATCGCACATATTTTTCTTTATATCCGATTTGTTGGATGTTAACATCAATGTAAAGATCAGAAGTAACCTTGTCATGGCTTTGTGGTTTCGCCGGGATTTAAAAAATTCGCGGTTTAATGAAAAATTTTGAATTTTTTCAACACAAAAGATATGGTCTATTTTACCCGCTAAATATTATCCGATGACCACCCAAATTGGTAGGCTTCCCGCCCTAAACTCTAGCTACATGCGAAATTCCACGTCGATTGGTCTATAATTGCGACCTCTATAGCTACTGCAAAATCCGACATTTTTTCAGTATTTGGTCCATTTCAACCCCTAAACATTTGGCGATCATCTCCAAAAGAAATAGGCTTCTATTCTGACCCTAATCCCACCTTGGTGCAAAATTTCGTTAGGATAGGCCCATAATTGCGACCTGTAGCGTGATTACAAATTAACATGGACAGACGGACGGATGGACATACATAGCTAGATCGACTCAGCTCGGCGAGCTAGGAAGATCCATATATACTTTCCTATGTGGAAAACCAAAATTTCGAGGTGTTACATAATTTTTGATTGGGCCAAACTTAGAATACCCCCAACACATAGTGTTGTAGGGTATAAAAATAGCATGCGATAAAAGATATAACAAAAATTGAAAAAAAAAAAAAACAAAAGAAATTCACTTTTTATTGCCATATTTTTCGCAAATTTCTTAGATTTTATCAGTTTCTGGCAAGAGACCATTTCGAATTGATGGGAATTGTGAAAACCGGTCCAGCGGTTCTTTACTTATAAGCAGAATAAATAAGTTCTATGCTTTTACACATATATTGTACATATTTGCTATATATCCGATTTATTGACAATCAGCATCACTTTAATGGTCAGAAGAGACATCTTAATGTATTTGTGATTTGGCTGGGATTAAAAATATGACGATTTAGTGAAAATTTTCTTATTTCCTTATATAAAAATTAGGGTATATTTTACCCGCTAAATATTGTCCGATTGCCGCCCAAATTGGTAGACTTCTGCTCAGTCCTAGACCCTAACCACTTAATTGTGGCCTATAGAGCAACAGCAAAATCAGGAAATTTTTCTGTTTTGGTCCATTTCAACCCCTAAATATTGTGCAATCATCTCCTATTCTGACCCTAACCCCACCTCCATTTTTAATTTCGTGAGGATCAGGCCATAATTGCGACCTGTAGCTTGATTACAATATAAAATGAACTGACGGACATACATAGCTAGATCGACTCAGCTCGGGAAGATAGGAAGATCCATATATACTTTCCTATGTAGGAAACCATAATTTCGAGGTGTTACATAATTTTTGGTCCAATCAAACTTATAATACCCCCAAATCATAGTGTTCTAGGGTATAAACAGTAAAGTAATGGAATGTCTGACTTAACGATTCATCAACACCCAGACGAAACGGCTGAAGCTAGAATCTTGAAATTAGGGTCACTTTTGGTTCGAAGGGGTCAGATACGAGAAATTCGTACTATAACGGTACGAAAAGTATAAACAGGCACTAGAAATGGTACCTTTTGTATTTGAGGAAGCAGTAGCGCCCTTAAACCCTTAAATTTGGAATGACGTTCCCTGACGGAGTGCATAATAGAATTACCAAAAGGTTTTCGGAAATCCGTACCATTAGTGTATGAAAAATACTAAAATGTACTACATTTTGTACCATCATGTGAACGAAATGAAATGGGAATCAGTTCCGCAATGTTATTTGGTACATGAGGTACAAATTCCTCCGTCAATTTCGGTAAATGGACTCAAAATTGGATATACCTCTCACATTTGAGTTCCCTCAAATTGTTGACCCTTTTTGGAGTGGGTTTCGAAGGAATGGGCCAATATTGTCCATTTCGTACCGGACCTAAATAAATATGACGGGATATGAGATATGTGATAATTATTAGAAATCGTAAAACTGTGAGTGAGGTACCAGATGTAGTCGACCGAAATATTCAAATTTCATACTTCATCTAATACAGATAAAACTAGTAAGCAAAGGCTATAGTCGTGCGGGGCCGACCAAGGGAAGCCCCCTTATGGCCAAACTCTTTTTGGAAGATTTCGATGTTACCCTTATTTACGCACTCAAAAAATCACAAAAGTCGTGGTCCAATGGTCACCCAAAATGCTAGTCTTCTTGGATATGAGAATCCATGTAACGGTTAGAAGTGACATTTTCGTGTATTCGTGATTTCACCAGCATTAAAAATACTCGCGGTTTCTGACCAGTCCTAAACTTGAACTCCACACAAAATTCCGCGCCGATCGGTGTATAATTGTGGCCTGCAGAGCCACAGAAAAATCAAGAATTTTTTGGTACATTTCAACCCCTAAATATTTTGCGATCATCTCCAAAAACAGTAGGGTTCTATTCTGACCCTAACTCCACCTACAGTTTCAAATTCGGTTCATAATTGCGACCTGTAGCTTGATTACACATTAACATGGACAGACGGACGGACGTACATAGCTAGATCGACTCATCTCGTCGAGATAGTAATATCCATATATACGTTCCTATGTGGGAAACCAATATTTCGAGGTGTTACATAATTTTTGGCCCAATCAAACTTATAATACCCCCAACAAATAGTGTTGTAGGGTATAAATATAGGTATGGGCAAAATTACAAGAAAATCGAACATTTATATCCAATTTGCGAAATCATAAGATTCATATTCTTTCTGGATGAGAGAAATATTTGGCTATAGCAAGTTGTCAAGTAGAGATCGAACCATTTCTTCTGGTACCTCCCCCACAGGGTTCTAGATTTTGAAAAGGAAAACGCTCAAAGAAAGCGAAATAATCATCCAATCATATATAAATTATTAGATATCGGTCTATTCCTTCTAGTACATTCTGCACAAAATGTCAACATTTTCGAAGAAAATAATTTACTGCACAGAAAGAGAAAGGATAATCCGATTTTGCTCCAACTTTATAAATCCTTGTATTTGCATCAGTGCTAGTTCAGGTACGAAAATGGACAACATCGGTCCACTCCATCAAGTACCTCCCCCACAAAGGGTCAAAATCTGGATACATTATAACCCTTATAAAATGTGATGTAAGAGCCCGATTATCTTCAAATTACACTTATCACAATATTTTTATTATTATTTACCAGAACTTCGGTTAGGTATGGTGTAAAAAGGGAAATATCGGTCCACTTCTTCTGGTACCTCGCCCATAAAAGATCAACATTTTGAATAACCAAAACAATCATAAAATTCGAAATAAGCATCCGCTACTTCAAATTACATACATCACAATATTTTTATTAATCCAATGCCTGGTGTAAAAAATGAGATATATCGGTCTTCTCCTTCTGGTAACTCCCCCACAAAGGGTCAAAATTTTTTAAATTCAAGAAGCTCATAAAAACGAAATTAACATTGGGTTGTATTCAGACTTGGTACATTACAACATTAATATCAACACAAGATCTGTTATAAAGATGGTAGAGATCAGAACATATCTACTGCTAAATTCCCCCCATAGGGTTCACGATTTTGAAAAACGAAACGCTCACAAAGCGTATCCAATTCTCATCAAATTTCACACATACAGAAGATGATATATTTCTGGCAATCCCTCCTGGTACCTTACCCACAAAGGGTCACAATTTACAATGCTTATATCTGTCATAACTTGCGAAACAATTCAGCGATTCTTTACAACTGTATTAGATGAATACTTCGGTCTGCTATATCTGTAATCTCTCGCTTATTTCCGAATTTTCCAAAAAATATATCTCATATAAATGATAAGAACTTGTCGATATAGTCCAAATCTGGCACCTTGTAATATTAATATCAGTCTTAGGTCAGATATGAATTGGTAAATATCGGAACCTGCACCATTAACGGGTTAACAGTTAGAATAATCATAGCTCAAGGCTGGGAGTATACATCTGTCGGCAAAACCGACTGATACTATTTTTTCTTTTTTTTGATTATCTGACAAATTTAACTAATTATCTGAAAAATCTGCAAAATCCTGCTTAATTTTATCCAGCAGAAGGCCTGCACAAATACAAGAATATATTTATTTGATCAAAATTTTCCTTTTTCCAGGTGGTGTTATTTTCTTCTCTGCCGGCATGAATCTGGCCATCAGTGTGGGTTGGGCCAAATTCGGTATGATGGGTACGACAAAGCATTTTTGCAATTCCTGGCTGATTGGAGTAATTGCTGGAACAATATTGTCCACGATGTTGAGAAAATTCCTGAGTAAAAAGGTGCTATGGGTAAGTGGTGACAGGAGATATTTTAAAATTCAAATTACTTACTAAGCCGTATCTTCTCTTGCAGATAATCTCCTCCGTTTTGATTTTCACCTGCGGTCTCATCTTCACCGCTGTTCCCGATACCTATGATGCCCTATTGGCCGGACGTTATCTCAGCGGCATTGGTGTGGGTCTGGCAATTGTGTCCTTCATAATGCACGCCAGTGAAATTGCTGTGAAAAAGCATCGTGGTCGCTGTTTGGTGGTGGAACAATTCTCCATGTCTCTGGGAATTGCTGTTCAAATGATCTACACCTCGAACTGGAATGCCGAATGGGAATTTTCAACATATCGTATGCATGGGATTTTGGAAATCGTATTGGCTTTCCTGGGTGTGGCGGCTTTAATACTTTTCATAGAATCGCCCATTGATCAAATACGTTGGGGTAATGATCATGCTGCCCTTACATGCTACTCTAAGCTAAGGCTCATTGATCACCATTCGAAGGAGGCCTATGATCTCCTCAGCCTGGGCAAGGTGTATGTGAGTGAGGAGGAGAGTTTATCGTTTGTGGAAAACCTGAAACGAGGTCTCTTGCCCTTGGTGAAAATGTTGATGTTCCGCAGTGTTGTGGTGGCCTTGTGTTTCTCATTGCCTTTTAGTGCGGCCTTCCAATATAGCTCGGAAAAAAATGATACTGAATGGGTGGCAACAGTGGCTGCCTGTGGACGGTTGTTGGGTGCAATTTGTGTCATATATTTGGTGGATTCGGTGGGTCGCAAAACAACCTCGCTGCTAACCATGTTTATTGCCGGTGGCATGCTAATCGGTTTGGGCCCACTGTTCAGTAGCCTGAGCAGCACCGAGGATACCTCGAATATGGCCACAGCCACTTATCTTTGTACGTGTATGCAATTTGCTGTGGGTTATTTTACACCCTTCACATCCGTCTATTTGGGCGAGGCATTTCCACTGCTGATGAAACCCTATTTCATTGCCCTCTGTGTCATTGCCGAACAATTGGTGCACATTGTTTTGATTAGCACCATTTCGGTGGATTTAAGTCTCATGGATCATGGCATCATTATTGCAGTGATATTTTTCATCAGCTGCTTCACAATGCCCGAAACAAAGAACACCACTTTGCAGGAGGCGCAAAGGAGATTCAGACGGTGGTTTAATATAGGCAAAAATTATTAGGGGCAAGGCAGTTTTTAAGGATTATTTTAAGTTTTAGTATTTAAGTATTTAACAATCGTTGTAGTTTATAAGTAATTTAATTTGTTGTACAATATATATTTATTTCGTCTTTCGACCCACATGCAGACTGTAGAACACACATAGAATGTTTAGAATGTAGTATTTATTTAATCGAAATCAGATTATTTTCTAATAAAAAAAAATGAAACAAAAATAAAACACGCAAAAAATGAAACGTGATAAGATAATGCTTTTTTAACTTCAGTAGTCAACAGGTTTTGGGATAAGAGTCGTGTGCGTGGAGGGAGATAATACGGCACGAGTGCTCTTGCACCTTCCCCCACCAGCAAGTATAGCAAGCAAGGAGATATAAAAAGAAAACAAAATCTGATTTATTCGATAATAAATATGTCTAATTTACAATCTGGATAAAATAAAAATAGTCGAGAATTAAATTCCAGGTCACACATGGTAAGGTAATCCTTGACGCTCAGGGAAATTTTGATATTTCCTGACTAGAATTGGGCGTCTGTTGGAACTGTAAAAAACAGAAATGGCCTACGAAGCTGTATGAGGCTCATATCAAATCGTGGACAAACTTCTTAATATAATAATAATACGTTTAACGTCCCATTATATACAGGCTTATTGTATAGGTCTTTGCTTCGCAAAATTAAGATTGAGCTTTTATATATGATGCAGGTCTATGGGTTATAAAATAAAATTAAAAAATATTGATCATGTTGGTCAACGTTTTGATACAGCCCCTACATAAGGGTATGCCCCGATTTTAAGCATTTGTAAATGTTAGCCATATTCTTCATACCAAAGAAGAAACCATACTTACAAAAAAATTATCAACGTTTCGGTATATCTCATATGAAGGTATCCCCTGATTTCAGCTATTTCAGGTTGTTTCCCACATTTTTCAATTGATTTGACCCTTATTTGCCATATTGGTTCCTAAGGAGGAACAAAGCCTGCCATTAATAAATAAATAAACATTAAGTTTGACCGGGCCGAACACTTCACCTTAGAGTAAAGGAAATATTTGAACCCATTATGACCCACAAATACCAATTTTTAGACAGAAAATGTGGCAAAAATGTAATATGGGGCTATACAAAAACGTGGATTTATACGCACAATGTTTCGCTAACGAAGATAGAACCCATTAGGACCAACAAATAACAAATTTTTAGAAAAAAAAATATCGAATATCGAGAGGTACCGTTGTATTGGGACTATACCTAAACGGACCGATATATCTCATTTTCAATACTAACCATCCTACCAACAATACAAATTGTTCTGCAAAATTTTAAAGCTCTACGTCAAATAATGTGGGCTGTATCGTGATTTCAACAGACAGTCGGACAAACAGGCGGATATCGTTAAATCTACTAAGAATTTTATGCTAATTATGAAAATATACACGACGAATATAAGGGCTGTTACAAACGGAATGGCAAAAATAATATAGCCTATTTTCCGAGGTAGAGGGTATGAAAAAACACAGTAAAGAAAAGCCAAAGTCGGTCTGCACCGCCTTTATTATACCCCACCTCGTTTTGCATATATTGGAGCCACATATAACAAATTAATGTTTTTATTGGGAAATTTTGAGAATTCAAACATACCAAATACAGGGTCTTTTGTGCCTCATATCATCGCTCGTTACCGTGATACTGGTAGCATAGCTCGACGTCAAGGAAGTGGACGCAAAAAAACAGCAACATCAGCAGAAATGGAAGCGACTTTATCGAAAAATGGCTCGTGAGTTGAAAATATCGCTATATTCCATTCGACAAATACTGAAAAATGAGCCGGGGGTAAAGCCATTGAAATTCCAAAAAGTGTAAGAACTTAAGAATAAATGCCTAATATTATCGCGAAAATATTCTGGAGGGTGTATTAAAGCCTTGGGCACGTAAACATTTTAGCCGCATACCTTGGACATTCCAACAGCATCCAGCACCATCGCACTCAGTACGCGCCACCCAAGAATGGTTACCAAATGAGGTTCCTCGCTTCATTTCCAGCGCACAATGACCCCCATAATCTCCGTATACCAATCCGTTGGAATATTGTGACTGGAGTGTTTTGGAAAGCAAGGTTGGCACTAAAAATACCAAAGTGTTGATCACCTCAAGCAAGCGCTTACGTGTAACGGTTTCATTGGCCGTTTGAAGACCACAATTCAGCCAAAGGTGACCAATTTTAAACATATCTAAACTTATTTTAAAATTTGATGCCATTGCCAACATTTTTTGCTTCCATTCAATAAAATTAAAAAAAAAAATGTAAAAATTATGGCGTTTGTTTTTTTATCTCACCCTGTATGTTATTATCCAGATCTTCTCTATGTAGGAGACTTGTACATTTCTCCTATGGAAGCTGGTTTTTATGTTGTTAACAACCCAACTGATATTCGAATGCTACTGAATGAGTCATTTGGGTATCTTGAGAAGTTGGTTTTTCTCATATTTTATGAGGTGGGTTTCTTTTATTTTTGTAACTCTGCAGGTGAATTTTCTCCGACAGAATTTCAATGACTCATATCATCGTATTCCGAGTAGCCCATTTGAATCAAAGTTCACATACGTTTACTTTTCGGAAAAATGTCACCAATTAATATCGCGATGGTTGTGGGGGGGAATCACCAATGTTGAAGTATGAGCTTGTGGTTTGTTGGTTAGACGCTCATCGTCAATGCTATGGCCGGAGGAGATAAGAATTTTCCAGTAAAAATATATTTTGGCGATAAATAACAAATGTGTGTAGTTCACTACTGGAAATCTAGGGGCTATAAATAGTAAAAATGTTAAATGTATTAACCGATTTATTTTTTCAAGAGAAAAATATTTATTTGGAGTTGTTGTGATTTACCCGAATTTGTTTTAAAATACTGATGATAAGTAAATTAATTTTTTTGAACGGAACTTAATTTTGAATTAGCATTTGCAGAGAAAGGGAAAATTTTAGGAAAATCACATTGACCAAAAGTTACAACTTCCTCCAAATTGAATGGGAGTTTTGGTATTTGACCCCGATCAAAAATCTGATTATCAACCAATGGATTTATTAATTACATTAGCCTACCAACCTCTTATTTTAACATGGACATCTCTGAGGGACAACAAACAACATAATTTTGAGTTAATGCATTACACATAAATAAATAACAAGTAAAAAAGCTGTAAGTTCGGCTGGACCGAACTTTGAACACCCTCCACCATTCGGAACGAATTTGGCAATTTTCAAGAAATAATATCCGTTAAAAATCCTGTTAATTAGGGTCTAAACGACGACGTAGTGGCTTATTTTTCAAATGCGAAACTTGAAAAAAAATCGATGAAAAATGTCGCTGATATCATTAAAATACCGAATATCGGGAGATACCGTTACATGGAGGCTATACGAAGTCGTAGACCTCCACAGACAATTTTCTGTCTTAGGTTGTAGTATCCATAACGAACTTCATGTACCAAATTTGAAACAATTCCGGTGAAAAATGTCGCTAAAATTATCAATATACCGAATATAGGGAGATATCGTTATAAATGGGCTATACGAAGACTTAGACCTGCACAGACAATTTTCTGTCATGGCTGAAGTGTTCATTACGAACTTCAAGTACCAAATTTGAAACAATTCCGGCGAATAATGTAGCTAAAATCATCAGAATACGGAATATAGGGAGGTACGGTTATATAGGGGCTATACGAAGACATGGACCTGTACAGACAATCTTCTATCATAGGCTGTAGCATCCATTACGAATATCAAATACCAAATTTGAAACAATTCCGGTGAATAATGTCACTAAAATCATCAAAATACCGAATATCGGGAGGTACCCTTATATGGGGGCTATACAAAGACGTGTACCTGAACGGACAATTTTCTGTCTTAGGCCCATTTCGAACTTCAAATACCAATTTTGAAACAATTCTGGTGAATAATGTCGCTAAAATCATCTAAATTATCAATCCAGTTCATTTCGTTCGGAAGCTAGAGTGATTTCCAAAGACGGACAGATGGATAGATTGGCGGACATCGCTAAATCGACATAGAATTTTATGCTGATCTTCTTGATCTTTATATAGTTTGTAGGGTCTATTATGAATATTTCGAGGAATTACAAATGTAATGAGAAATCTAATATACCCTCCATAGAATGGTGGAGGGTATAAAAAAGAAAAACACCATTTTCAGTTAGAGGAGATAATATTTATTTGTTATCACTTTTTTTTGATAAGTTTCATGGTTTTGCGACACACACCCCTTAACCCTTTCCTGTTGTCAAAAATCCATTCTCAACCCTCTAACCGGTGTCAATGCCAAGCAACATTATCACCGCACAAACCAAATGTCTATACGTATCAGCAAAATTCAATCGACTGATAATGTTGGGTATTAGAACCCAAATACAAATTCAATATCTGTTGTTTTTCTGGGGTATTTTATGTGTTGATTTCGAAACCGAACACACCTGCGGCAGTGAGGGCTCAGTCTTTTGACGACTTTAACGAATATCGGTTATTTAACGCATTTTCTTTACGAACGAATTTCTTTTATAATTTTGAATCTAAAATACATAACCGAAAGTGAAACCATCTCAAGATTTTAAAAATTCTTTTCCTGTGAAAAAATTGAAAAATTACTTAAGAAAAATATACAAAACAATAGTGTAAATAAATCTCAACAATGCAGCCACAACAGCAGCAGCAACCGCCATATCCAGGACAACAGCCTTATCCAGGACAGCAACCATATCCTGGCCAACAACAATACCAAGCGCCACCACAATATCCCGGTCAACCACAATATCCCGGCCAACCACAATATCCGCCACAACAACAATTTCCAACGCAACAGGATCCACCGAATGTAATTTACGTCACATCTGCCACACCGGCACCAGCTCCCATTCAAGCGAACACCAGCTGGCGCAATAGGCCACAAACAAATGCAACAGCTGCAGGTGAATTGATTAAATGCATTTGATCCAAAAATTACCAAAATCTATGAAAATCTTATTTACGAATTTAGATATAGGGTCCGCAATCTAACGTTTTTTATATACCCTCCACCATACATAGTATGGAGGGTATATTTTTGGACGTATGAGTCTCTTATCTGCACGCAAGTCAAATTATTCGGTATTTTGAAATCAATATTCAATTAAATTGTCTGAAATTCTACACAAGGAGTTCTTTGTGAATACTTTACCCCCTGGAGGAGAATCATCTATATAGGTCTACGATATCGTTTATCTCCAATATAACGGTGTCTCCCAATATCAATGGCTCACACAGTTGCATTCCCTGTAGTCCATTTGGGTCAAAGACCACAATTAATTATTGATTTATTTGACACTTTGAAGAATAATATTCCCAGTCCCGATATTCGGGACCGAGGAGGACGTTTGTAAAACCAATGCACAATGGACTCACATCCAATTTTTCTGTCCAAAACTTGTTCAATATCTCCGTTTGTAAACTCTAGACGCCTACAGTGACCGTTCAAAAAGTACCAAATTTGGTAACATTTAGTATGCATATCCAAAACAATCTACATCGCTCCATCCTAGACACCAGCAACGTTCCAAAATTAGTACCTTTTAGAACTTTCCGAATACTTATAGTACGCATTTGTAAAACCATCACTAGATAGTAACAGATGCCTCAATCTCAAATACCGTACTTAGAATTTTTTAGTAGTTTTCGTACCATACATATTTCCAAACCAACCTACATATTTCAATTCCATTTACCATCAGAAATCTTAATATCAATTTTGGGAACACCAGCCTCCTCCTTCACCCTATACCCTATTGAGTACTATTTTGTACTTTCCGTACATTGTTGATCCCTTCTGAAAACACCAAAAATAGTACCATTTAGTACACATATCCGAAACCACCTTCACATAACCATCTACCTACATATAAACAACGATCCTAACACCAAATTTCGGATATAATTTTTAGTACATTTCGTATTTTTTTAAGTACGAATTTTCAATAACCCAGCCCTAACACAGGTCTACGTACCCGTTTTTCAGTTAGTCAACAATGCAAAAATATGAAAAAAATTCCCTTTTAGAGGGAACCATAGCAGATCAAAGTATTCTACAATAATATTTGTCATAAAATTCTGCTATAGGTCTCAGTATACGAAGAAATTATTAAAATATTTGCAACAATGTTTTACAAAAAAAAAAAATCAAAAATATTTAATAATATTTTTATTCATTTTTCCTTGGCCTTTTTCGATTTGATGCATGAAAGTAACATAAAATTTCGTTTTAGGCGGCAACTGTCAACAGAAGATTTTTTCTATCCAATATTTCACTATAAATCTCTGAATAAACCATATACCTAACGTTGAATACCCTCCACCATTTGGAACAAATTTTCCAATTTTCAAAAAACCGTTGAAAATTTTAAAAATACCGAATGTAGCCGTTATTTTGGCGTCTATACGACGATGTGGACCTGCATAGGCAACTAAAACTAATATTGGGCTTTGCAAAGTTTCTTGTTCTATACGGTTAATTTTTATACCCTACACCACAAGGTGGTCAGGGTATTATGTCTTTGTGCATTTGTTTGTAACAGGCAAAAGGAAACGATATAGACCCATAGTTCCTTTTGATTGAAATCGGTTCAGATATATCTTTAACTCCCATATATATTGTTCATCCGATTTGTTATTTTTGTCCTCCACAGCCGTAATATGCACTTTGTAACAACAATATTTGGGGAAATATATCAAATACAGCTCAGAAATACATTTGCTAAATTTTATCGAGATCGGTTCAGATTTGGATATAGCTCCCATATATATAACTTTGTCCGATTTACCTTTTATCGTGCACCAAACGTCTAATATTTGCCCAAATGGGATGAAACTTGGCACTTACGACCGAATTGAGTCTAGAAGCTAGTATGTCAAATTTGGTGTAGTCGGTTCAGATATAGATATAGCTCCCATATATACTGTTCATCCGATTTGTCATAATTGTCACCCACAGCCGTAATATTCACTCCGTAACAACGATATTTAGGGAAATATATCAAATACAGCTCAAAAATATCTTTGCCAAATTTTAAGGAGATCGGTTCCAATTTGGATATAGCTCCCATATATATTATTATCCGATTTCAAATTAATTGTGCACCAAATGGGCAATACAAGTCCGAATTTAAAAGATACAAATGCTTCGGCATATTTAGTCCTTTGAATTTTAAATTATAATTATAATCATAGCGTGTATGATTAAATTCTCCCAGAAAAACTTTTAATTGTTATGCGCAGCTCTACTAAATTAGCAAAGTGTTGTAGGGTATCATAAAGTCGGCCCCGCCCGACTTTAAGACTTTCATTACTGGTTTTCTATGAAAATATTGACCTTGGTGGGGAAGGTACCAGAAGGAGTGGACCGATATTGTCCATCTTCGACCTCGATAACTCGGACGACGCTCACAGATCGACGTCAAAAGTCCTGAAACGGATTTGGTCCAAAAAGACCTATGGGCTGAAACCGCAATTTGAAAAAAATAGAATAAAATGGTGTGAATAGAATATTGAGGTGTGAACATGCCACTTCTAGTAAGGTTACTTTTTCGATGTAAACCCTCAAAACGCCGATGCATGTGTTTCTTATTTGTATACCCTCCACCATTCCATGGAGGGTATATTAGCTTTGTCATTCCGTTTGTAACTCCTCGAAATATTCATGATAGACCCTAAAAAGTACATATATTCTGGATTAGCGTAAAATTCTAAGATGATTTAGCGATGTCCGTCCGTCTGTCTGTTGTAATCACGAAATATTTCAAACTAAAATTTTGCACACATGTGTATTTTCCCAATAGGCAGGTTAAGTTCGTAAATGGGCCATGTCAGCCCACGTTTTCCTATAGCCGCCATATAACAGTACATCCCGATATTACGTATTTTGATAATTTTAACGACATCATTCACCCGCATTATTTCAAATTTCATATTCGAAGTTTGTAATAGGTACTACAACAATTTAATTTTGAATGCAGGTCCACGTCTTCGAGTATATAACGTACCTCCTGATATTTGGTATTTTACTGATTTTAGCGACATTATTCACCGGAATTGTTTCAAATTTTGTATTTAAAAATCTTAAAGGGTCTTCGTATAGCCGCCGCATGAACTTCATTATTTAAACGATATTTTTCGGAATTTGTTAAATTTTTTCAAGTCTCTTCCAAATAGGGGAGAGTATTAAAAGTTCGGGCCGATCGAACTTCACTGCTTTTTTACTTGTTAGGACTGCTTTAAAAATCTATTGAGTTTTTCCTACAATTATTTTTTGTATTTTCCACTTTTTTTTTTATTATTTTTTGTGTGCCCAAAAACTAATTTAATTTATTATTTCATTTTCAGCTGGCCTCATTTTCATATCGGGCGGTGCAAACTTGGCATTGGGCGTTGGCTGGACTCAGGGTAGTATTTATGGCTCTACCTATCATTTCTTGTATTCCTGGTTTATTGGTGTGATCATAGGTACAGTTCTCGCACTGCCGTTGAGAGGCGTTATAACCAATCGTCTAATTACGGTAAGAAAGAAAAATGCAACTAAAAAGATAAATAAATAAAACTAAACTAAACTATTTTTCCCTTCCAGTCCCTATCAACATTACTGGTCATCATTGCTGGCATCATTTTCGTAAGTGTTCCCTACGATTATGATTCGTTGTTGGCGGCACGTTACCTCAATGGCATTGCCATTGGCCTGGTCACAGTGCCGTTCCTGATGAATGCCAGTGAAATTGCCGATATTCAGTATCGCGGTGTTTGTGTGACCATTGAGCAGTACTCCATCTCATTGGGCATTGCTGTCCAAATGATGTATGCCTCGAACTGGACCCAGACGGTAGATTTCCCTGCCAATCGTTTGCATGGCATTTTGGATATTATCTATGGCATTTTTGCTGCCATCTCCTTGGTGTCGGTGGTGGAGTCCCCAGTTGATATGATACGCAAGGGCAATGAGTCTGCAGCCCTGGAGACATTGGGCCGTCTAAGGAGACCCCAATTGGTGACAACGGAAACACAACATTTGCTCAACGAATACAAGACCTATGTTCGCGAAGAGGAGAATTTGTCGTGGATGCAAAGCTTTCAACGTGGTCTGGTGCCCTTGGTGAAAATGTTGCTCTTCCGCAGTATGCTGCTGACGTTCTGCATGTCGCTGCCCCTGAATCTGAGCATACAATATAGTTCGTTGGTCATCGGCAGCACATGGGTGCCAACGGTGGCAGCTGTTTTCCGTGTCCTCGGAGGTATTGTCACCATTGGCATGGTCGACAATGTCAACCGGAAAATGCCCTCGGTTTTCAGCATTCTGATCATTGGCTGTTTCCTCATTGGTTTGGGCTCCCTCTTCACATCGTTGAGCAACATTACGAGCTATGATGACATGAACTCGGCCATGTATTTGTATTTGTTCCTGCAATTGTTCGCCGGCTTCTTTGTACCCTATGCCTCGATTTATCTCAGCGAAGCATTCCCATTGAGGGCCAAGCCGTTCCTGATGGCTGTCGTTGTCATTGCCGAGCAAATAATTCAAATCATCTTTATTGACACCATCACCATTCGCATTGGCGATAATTTAATGGCCCAGGGTATTATTACGGTGGTGGTATTCCTATTTTTGGGTCTAACCATGCCCGAAACGAGAAACACCACCTTGACGGAGGCTCAGATACGTTTTAGAAAGTTAGTGAATCTGTAAATTGTAGAATTCTTGGTGGAAATAGGAAACGGAAAATTGAGGTCAATATTTATTATTTTTTTTGGTTTTTAATTTAGTATTTGTGAAATTTTCTATATTTATTTTTTTGGTATTGAGATTAATGTTTCCAAAATGCAGTTAATAAAAATTTATGTTTATAAGCCAAATAAAAATTAAAAGGGCAACACATGACTATTAATAAAATATACGATCAAAATAATTGATTTTAATGACTATTATTTACCAAGGCAAGGAGTCTTCTTAAGACAAATTGCAATATTTTTAATAAAAGAAATGTTTTTAATAAAAAAACGCACAATAGGTAGTCGGAAAACTAGAAAATCCACGTTATTTTTTATATCAACGATTGCTTCCCAGAAAATTCTTGGTCAAAAAATTATATTTTTCAATCTACGATTTTTGTCTAAGAGAAATATTCTCTTAAAATCCACAAATTTTCGTTAGGATGTCCTTTATCAATTTTGAAAGTATCATTCGGGTTTGCCGACAGATGAATACCCTCCGTCAATGTGGGTTGAATTTTAATTGGGATGGTATCATTTCGTATCTGACCTATGTCATTAATAAATCCGAAAAAAAAACAACGGAACGGAAGGTGACCCATTCCATATTCACATCAGTCTTATGGTTAAAAAAATATGAGAAATATAAAAAATAAAAATTTGTGAACGAGGTACCAGAAGCGGTGGGCCGATTTGTTATAATTATATAAGAATTTTGCTATAATTATTAAGAATTTTGATCTTTTGTGGGGGAGGTACTTGATGGAATAGACCGATATTGTCTATTGTGCACATGACCTACTACTGGTGCAAATGTTAGGATTTGCCAAGTTTTGAGCATCATCGAATTATCCTTTCTCTTTCTGTGAAGTAAAATATTTTTTGAAAATTTCGACCTTTTGTTTGAGAGGTACCAGAAGGAGTGGACTGATTTTTCTCATACCCGAACTCGACATAAGTTTGCCAATTATATCACGATGTACTAATTTCGGACTTAATCGGATACTCCCTTCTAGAGTTAGCGTGCGCACCTGCCTGACAGACCGACGGACGGACATCTCCAGATCGACTCTTAATGTCCTGAAACGGATTTGGTCCAAAGAGTTATAGTTCTGTATACAGAGTTTGTAATGGAATCTATGGCCTGTGACTCGGATACTCCCTTCGAGAGTTAGCGTGCCAGAGACTTATAGATCGGAATACAGAGTTTGTAATGAGCTCACTTGTCTGTGACAGAATAGTGCTCAAGTACACTCATTATTTCTTACAACTCATATGGTGGTACCTCGTTGGTATTTTGGTGATTTTTAATCATAATTCGAGATGATCAGGTCATAATTGCGAGCTGTAACTAATAAGAAATACACATGGATGAGCACACATAGGTAGGTAATACAAATTCACGGCTTACAAAAAAAAAAAAAACAAGTAGAAAAACAGAAAGTTCCGCCGGGCCGAACTTTGAATACCCTTCACCACTTGGAACGAATTTGGCAATTTTCAAAAAATAAAATCCGTTAGAATTCTGCTAAAATATTAAAATTACCGAATATAGCCATTATAGTGGGGTCTATACAAAGACGTGGACCTGCATAGGCAACTTTTGTCATATGCCATTAAAATATTCAAATACGAAACTTGCTAAAAAATCCGGTGAATAATGTAGCTAAAATCATCAATGCGGAATATAGGGATGTACCGTTATATCGGGGCTATACGAAGACCTGGACTTACAAAGAAAATATTCTGTCACAGCCTGTAATACCTATTACGAATTTCAAATACGAAATTCCAAACAATTTCGGTGAATATTGTACCTAAAATCGTCAAAATACCGAATATAGGGAGGTACTGAAGGCTGGATTTTCTAAAGTTTTTTTCAGAATGCTTTAAAGAATTCTGATTTTTTAGATTTAGATTTTTATATTTTTTAAAGATTTTTCCAGAATCATCCAAAGAAGAATGACGTGGATTTTTCCAGAATTCTTTAAAGGCCCCAAGGCCTGGATTTTTTAAAGAATTTTCCAGAATTCGTTGAAGGCCCCAAGGCCTGGATTTTTTAAAGAATTTTCCAGAATTCGTTAAAGGCCCCAAAGCGTGGAATTTTTAAAGATTTTTCCAAAATTATTTAAAGAACCCAAGGAGTAGATTTTTTTAAAGTTTTCCCAGAATTCTTTAAAGTCCGCAAGGAGTGAATTTTTTAAAGATTATTGCAGATTCCTCCAAAGACCAGAGGCAGGGTTTTTTTTATTTGTTCCAAGAATTCGTTATAGACCTTAAGGTGTGGACTTTTAAAAGATTTTTACAAAATTATTTAAAGAACCCAAGGCGTGGATTTTTTAAAGATTTTTCCAGAATACTTTAAAGGCCCTAAGGTGTGGAATTTTTAACGATTTTTCCAGAATTCTTTACAGGCCGCAAGGCGTGAATTTTTTAAAGATTATTGCAGAATCCTCCAAAGACCAGAGGCAGGGTTTTTTTATTTGTTTCCAAGAATTCTTTATAGACTTTAAGGTGTGGACTTTTAAAAGATTTTTACAGAATTATTTAAAGAACCCAAGGGGTGGATTTTTTAAAGATTTTTCCAGAATACTTTAAATTATTTTTAATTTATTTTATTTTAATTAAATTTTTTTTCAAGAATATATATATATACGGAATGACGAACTTAATACCCTCCATACTATGTATGTTGGAGGGTGTAAAAACAGGATTATTTACTCGAAAATTTTTGACAAATATTTAGAAAAATTAACGATTCCTGACCCGAATGTTTTTGGAAAACTATTTTATAAAATTTCCCTATTCTTCGTCAGAAAAAACTATTAAAATTTCTATAGTTTCGATATATTTCAACTGTATACATTTATATGTTCCGCCTGATATTTGTATTGCCCGTATATCCAAGGTCAACCGTACTCTTAAACGTATGTACACAACTATGTTCTTTTTATAACGATACAATAAAATTGTTATTGGTAGCTTTTCGCCACAAAATTACTATCTGTTAATTTCGCTCAATTCTCTGACACCTTGTCAACCATTTCGAAAATAAAAGTATTAATAAACTTTTGTTTCAAAAAAATCTCCACAATAAACTATCAGCAATCACATTTGCAATATTAAATCCCCATTTCGATAAAAAGTACATCCCCACTTGATTTGTCACCACGATTCTTGGGTACTGTTTTCGGTACACTTGTCGATAAAAGCAAGATTGCATGAAGTATGTTTGTGGTGATACGAGGATGGTGAGAGAATTTCAGGAAACCTGAAGAAGATAAATATTTTGTGATAAAAAAGTAGTTTTAGAAGAAGAGAAACATAGAGAAAAGTTATGTTAAAAGTCAAACTTAGATCGAGATCGGAGATGGGCAATATCGGTCCACTCCTTCTGGTACAGCCCCACAAAAATTCGGTACTTTTAAAAGATATACATTATTGCACAGACAGAGAAAGAATATTCCGATTTTGCTCAAACTTTGCAAATCCTAATATTTGAATCAGTGCTAGGTCAGGTGCGAAAATGGACAATATCGGTTCACTCCATCAAGTACCTCCTCCACAAATGGTCAACATTTTGGATATTTATAACTCTTACAAAATATGATGTAAGAATCCGATTGTCTCAAATTTGTACACCCCCCAATATTTTTACTAAACCAAGGTCTGATGTAAAGATAGAAGATATCGGTCCACTTCTTCTGGTACCTCCCCCACAAGGGGTCAAAATTTTGAATATCCATGAAGCTCATAAAACGCGAAATTAACATCAGATTCCATTCAGACACATCTCATATTACAATAAACACAAGATCTTTAATAAATATGGTAGAGTTCGGAGCATTCCTTCTTGTACCTCCCCCACAGAGGGTCAAAATTATGAATATCCATTAAACACATAAAACGAGAAATTTACATCCGATTCCATTCAGACTTAGTACATATCAATATTTCCATCAACGCAAAATCTGTTATAAAGATGGTACAGATCGGACCATTTCTTCTGGTACCTCCCCCACAAGATTTTTGAAAAACAAAACGCTCAAAGACATTGAATTAAGCATCCAACTCTCTTCATCATTTTCACACACACAAATATTTTTGCCTACGCAAAATCTGTGTCGAAGATGATATATATCTGCCAACTCCTTCTGGTACCTCACCTACAAAGGGTCACAATTTCCATTACTTTTACCCTTACGCACATTTTAACATTGTCTAAAAATTATCACATATCTCATATAAAGTGAAAGAAGTCCAAATCCGGCACGTCGCAATATTTATATCATATTTATTTAGGTCCGATACGAAATGGACAATATTGGCCTATTACTTCGGAACCTAATCCATAGAAGGCCAAGAATTTAAATAATCCGAACAGAAGTCAAAATATATTTAAATAATCGAACATTGGCTGAGGGTATGCATCTGTCGTCAAAACCTACTGATACTTTTTAACTCGTTATTTCCCGTTTTTCTTACCACTTTACCACACATACCAACCTCGTAACAATAGCGTATACGTAAATATACGTATGTGTGTGTGTGTGCGAAAAAAGTATGTAGGTATTTTTATCAATGGATAAATTACTTCAGCCCCTCAAATAATTAATCATAACAAATTTCCGTGTAATTGCATTAAATATATATTATTTTCAGAAATAAATTATGCCAATGAGGGTAGTCTTTTAGCAACATTGGTGGCGATCGAAGCTATAAACTTATGCTTACGATCATTTAGACGTGAAAACATTTTTTAAATATTTCGAAACGAAATTGAAAGAAGTTGTAATTACGCTTTATAAATACCGAACATTTTACGGGAACAATTGCTGTGATGTCATCACCGACAACTACCGTTCCCCCACCGGGGTTCTATGTGACGTCGAGCGAACCGACGACAAAGAGCAAACCACAATCGACATCGCTTACGGCAGGTGATTGAAGACAAAAAAAAACAAGGAAAAAAATATATAAAATATATTCTGATATTGCGGGTGTTAATTGAGAATAAAGCGAAATAATTTCGAATATTCCATGAATTTTATGCGAAAAAAAAATAAAAACTTGTTGGTCTATTCCAGGTATCAGACGTAATAAAAATTATTAAAATCTACAAAGGAATGTTTCAGGAAATTTGCACATTGTCAAAATGTATTGTACATAAAAAGGGTGATTTTTTAAAAGCTGTAAAACAATTTTTCACAAGAAAAAAAAAAAGAAAAACAGAAAAGAAAGGCCCAATGTGGCACGTGGCCGACTTTATTATATAGTAGAACTATTAATGAGAAATAAACGTTTTTTTATAGGGAATTTATGATTGTTTTTATGACTTTAAGGCAGATATAATTTAAAGCCGAAAGGAGCTACTAAATTTGACGGACTGAAACGATATTCATCAAAATCCTTCTTATTTGAGCTGGTATTACACATTCTAGCCACAAAAAACGCGTGAAATCGGACAAAGATATATATGGTAGCTATATTCAAATCTTAGCCGATTTCTAAAGAATTTAACAGAGGTATTTCTATTTGGCGTCTTTGTTGTTGTGTCAGGAACTTAAATACAAATATATATATGGGACCTATAGCTATATGAACAGATTTTCACCAAATTTGATATACTTTCTTCCAAGCTAAATTCGTTCGTATATGCCAAAAATCATTCAATTCGGGCTTTTATTAAGCATTTGAAATTTAATAACTTTAAAATCGAGCTAAGATATATGTGATAAGGTATATCCAAATCTGAACCGATCTCGACAAAATTTTGCAAAAAGTATTTCTGAGCTGTATTTGATATATTTGAACAAAAATCGTTATTACATAGTTCATATTACGGCTGTGCAAGACAAAAATAACAAATCGGATAAACAAAATATATGGGAGATATAGCTATATCTGAACCGTCTTTCAAATTTTACATATTTATTATATCCTAAGCCGTATGGCTAGAGCGGGAATATATCATTTGATACAGCCAAACCCTAGACCCTAGGTCTCTTTGGACCAAATCCGTTTCAGGACAACTGTCTGTCTCTCTGGCAAGCTGGTGCGAACGATAACTCTCCAAGGGAGTATCCGGAGATGGGCAACAGCGGTCTACTCCTTCTGGTACCTCCCCCCACAAAAGTTCGAAAATTTCAAAAACAAAAAACAAGTAAAAAAGCTGTAACTTCGGCCGGGTCGAACTTTAAATACCCTCCACCATTTGGAACGAATTTGACAATTCTCAAAAACAATAAATAAAATTCGTTAAAAAATTCTGTTAAAATCTTAAAAATACCGAATGTAGCTGTTATATTAAGGTCTATACGACGACATGAACCTGCATAGGTAGCATTTGTCGTAAGCCATTACAATATTCAAATGCGAAACTTAAAAACAAATAGGTTATATTGTCGATAAAATCATCAAAATACCGAATATCGGGAGGTACCGTTGCACGGGAGCTCTACGAAGACGTGGACCTGCACAGACAATTTTCTGTCTTAGGCTGTAGTATCTATTACGAATTTTAAATACCAAATTTGAAACAATTCCGGTGAATAAATGTCGCTAAAATCATCAAAATACCGAATATTCTGAGGTACCGTTATATGGGGGCTATACCAAAACGTGAACCTACATGACCCATTTTCAATACCAAAAGTCCTGCAGACATAACATACATTTGAGCAAAATTTTATCAATCTACTTCAATTCGTTCGGAAGCTAGAGTGATTTCCACAGATGGACTGGCAAACTTAATATATGGTGGAGGGTATAAAAAATGATCGGTTTACTCATCAAGTAACTCCCCCACAAAGGGTCAAAAAATTCAATAATCATAAATCTTAGAAAATGTGATGTAAGAGTCCGATTGTCTTCGAATTACACACGTCACAATATTTTTTTAATCCAAGGTCTGGTGTGAAGATGGGATACATCCCTTCTGGTACCTCCCTCACAAAGGGTCAACATTTATAATAAATCCATGAAGCTCAGAAAACGCGTAATTTACATCCAATTCCATTCAGACTTGGTAGGTCTCAATATTTCCATAAACACAAGATCTGTTATAAATATGGTAGAGATCGGACCATTGCTTCTGATACACCCCCACCCCCCCCCCCCCTAGGGTTCAAGAATTTGGAAAACAAAACGCTCAAAGAAAGCGAAATAAGCATTCAAAAACACAAAACGACTATAAAATCCGAAATAAACATCCGATTCTCTTCATATTTCACACATCCCACTGACAACTGGCAGCTCCCTCACAAAGGGTCAAAATTTTGAATATCCATGAAGCTCATAAACTCTAAGGGTGTACGTGTTAATTTGTATCTTATAATTCATGCCTTCTTTCAGGTAGCATGATTTTTCTTTCGGCCGGAATGAATATGGCCCTGGGACTGGGTTGGTTTCAATATAGCATCTACGGTTCGGCCAAACATTTTTGTTTCTCATGGTTTATTGGCGTCATAATTGGTACAATACTAACGGCTCCGCTTGTCAATTTTATGCCCAAGAGATATATACTGGTAAGTCCAAGAAAAAACAGAAAACATTATATACATTTCTAACATCCTGCTCCCTTTTCCCTTCCAGAGTCTCTCCACCTTTTTGATACTGATCGAAGGCATACTCTTTACAAGTGCCCCCTACAATTATGACTCGTTGTTGGCTGGACGTTATTTCAATGGCATTGCAATTGGCCTGACCATTTCGCCCTTCCTCATTAGTGCCAGTGAAATTGCGGCCAACTCAAATCGTGGCGGCTGCCTGGCCTTGGAACAATATTCCATTAGTCTGGGCATGGCCGTACAAATGTTTTACGCCTCGTTGTGGAGTTATTCCATCGATTTCTCCATCAATCGCGTGCATGGTATTATCGACATTGTGTTTGCCCTCTTGGCTGGCATATTTTTGTATTGTTTCTTCGTCGAGTCGCCAGTGAGTTATATACGCAAGGGTGAAGATGGTCTGGCTTTGGAGACATTAGCCCAACTGTGGCAACCGAAAGGTGTAACGACGCCCGTGCGTTCGCTGTTCGAACAGCACAAAGCCTATGTTCGAGATCAGGATAATTTATCAATGGCTGAAAGTTTACGACAAGGTCTACTACCTCTGGTCAAAATGCTGTTCTATCGCAGCCTAATGCTGGCCTTTTCTTATTCCCTACCCCTAAATTTGGCCATGCAGTTTAGTCTGGTTTTGAGTGGCTATACCTGGATACCCATTGTGGCCGGCGGTGTACGGGTGTTGGGTTCCATCGTGGCCCTGTGTATGGTTGACAATGTGGATCGTAAGATTCCCTCGATACTCTCAGCCATTATTTTTGGCGGTATAATGATCGGCATCGGTTTGATTTTTCGTGATTTGGAAAATCTCCTCATAGCCAGCGAAATGACTGCGGCAATGATTCTGTGTATTGTTATGCAGCTGTTTGCGGGTTTCTTCACACCCTATACCTCTGTGTATGTGGGTGAGGCCTTCCCGTTGCGTGTGAAGCCCTATTTAATCGATATCTGTGTGATAGTTGAGCAAATTATTCACATAGTCCTCATTGAAACTGTTAGCCTGTATTTGGGTACGAATCTACTGGTCCAAGGTGTAATTATAATGGTTGTATTCATACTGCTCGGCTTGACAATGCCGGAGACGAAGAAAACTTCATTGGCCGAAGCTCAGCGGCGCTTTAGAAAATGGATATATATTAAATTGGACATTGAAGTATGAGGGGCATGACTTTTTTATAAATTGTTGTTAATAAATAAAGCTCATTAAACAAAATAAAAATTGTAGTAATGTACATAAATTATTTAAAAATAAAAATCAAACATTTTATCTTAGATAGCTATTACAATTTTACAAATAAAATTAAATTTTTATAGAAAATCAAATAATTGTCCCATTTAAATTATTGCTAGTCTTTTTAGTATTAGTTATTAAAAGAAATATATTTTACAACATTAAATTGTAAATTATGCATATAACAATTTTCCACTTTTTATTTCAAAGCGCAATTTTATTGTTTTTATCACAATTCGTAAATTATTACGAAAAAAAAATGTATTACAAAAACCTGGCAGTTTTTATTTCTAAAGGGTGTTTATGAGGGTATTTTTTACACCCTTCACCACATAGTGGTAAGGGTATTATGTATTCGTGCATATATTTGTAACATAGAGATGGAAGCGAGATAGACCCATATATATTTCATAGAATCACTTTCTGAGTCGATTTATGTACGTCAGTCCGTCTTTCCGCCCGTCTTTTTATCCGATTGAGATGAAAATTTCTAAAGAATATTTGCTTTGCCCAATGACGAACCCCATTAAAATTGGTGAGAATCGGTTGAAATTTAGATATAGTTCCCATATACATCTTCAACTGATTTCAGGTTAATTGTGCACCAAATGGCCAATATCAACCCAAATGGCCTGCATTTTGGCACTTCCAACGGAATTCAGGCCAAAAGCAAGTACTTCATATTTTTGTGAAAATCAGTTCAGATAAAAAAACTGCAACAAAGTCAAACGCCTTAATTTTAAATTATGTTTATACCCTACAACACTTTGTGTTGGGGGTATTATAAGTTTGATTGGGCCAAAAATTATGTAACACCTCGAAATATTGGTTTCCCACATAAGAAAGTATATATGGATCTTCCTATCTCGCCGAGCTGAGTCGATCGAGCTATGTATGGGGTTAAGGCCGCAGGGGTTGAAATGGACCAAAAACTGAAAAAAATCCTGATTTTGCAGTTGCTCTACAGGTCGCAATTATAGACCACTTAAAGCGAAAGTTAGCATGGGGCTAAAGCTTAAGGCTGGGCAGAAGCCTTTCAATTTTGATGGTCATCGGGTAATATTTAGTGGATGAAATAGGCCACAACATTTGTGTTAAATAAAAGTCATATTTTCCATTAAACCGCGAATATTTTTAATCCCGGCGAAATCACAAATAGACGAACAGGTCAATTCTGAGCGTTACGTAGATGCCGATAGTAAATATATCGGATATATATATAGCGAAATATATACAATGTGTATATACAAAGGAAGGGGATGTTAGTTAGAATGCTTATGTCTCAAGAATGGCTGGACCGATTTTGACAAATTTCGTCAATTCAGAATGCCCTCTTGACATAAAGGAATAAAATCTAAAAAAAATCGCATAAAAAGCTATCAATAATTATGTTAATATAGATTTTGTAATATTTTTTATTTTTTCATATTTTTTATCGCATGCGATTTTTTCAATTTGACTTTCAATATTTTGTAATATTTTTTCACCTTACAACACAGGTTGGGGTTATTATATACAGATTGCAATTATCGTCCGATCCTCACGAAAATTTTCACAAGGGTAGGGTTAAGCTCAGGAGGGCTAGGCCAATTGTTTTCAAAGATGTCCGCAATATATTAGGGGTTAAAATTGACCAACAACTAAAAATTTTCCTGATTTTGCGGCCGTTATAAAGGTCACAAGTAAAAATCAAAGGAAACGAAATATCACATGAAGTTAGAGTTTAGGACAGCGGGTAGAAAGGTACACTACTTTTGTGTGAAAAAATACTAACATTACTTACAGGCGATATCCGAAATAAACAAAAGGCGAACTTCTGACTTTTTTATGCTGATTTCATTGACGAATATAGCAGCATATCGTGTACAAGCAAATCATATTGATGGGTCTAAATTTGAGATAAAGAGGGGCCTATTGCATTTTCTAACATATTGTAGTGTTGTAGGGTATCACAGGGTCGGCCCCTCACGACTATAGCCTTTGCTTACTTGTTTTTATCTCACCCTGTAAATGTTTCATCCGAATTGTGGCTTTAATTCCCTGACATGCGTAATACGTACTCCACAATAACGATCTTTGGTACCAGATATCGGTAACAGCTCAGAAATAAATGTCTAAAATTTTTCTGTACTCGTTGCCGACGTAACTGACAATTCAGCAATGAAAAGCTGAAATAAGGCAAATAATTCTCATTCACTTGGTAATGACGATCATATATAATATTCGGTTTGGTTTACTGAAGAGGCCTTACCAAAAGTTAGTTTGTGATTTTCTGAATTATTTTCTGTACTTCGGCTAACAGAATAATTAGCCTTATAAAGGGATTCTGTAGATGAAACACCTTATAAAGTCATACAAAGACCGAGTACCCTTTCATCTATAAACGTAAGACGTAGAACGTTGGTCCATTTCAACCACCAAATATATTGCGGACATCTTTAAAACCAATAGGCCTAGTCCATTTGAGCCTAACCCTGCACTTATGAAAATTTTCTTGAGGATTGGACGATAATTGCAATCTGTATGCAATAACCCCAACCTGTGTTGTAAGGTGAAAAAATATTACAAAATGTACACTTCAATATTATAAGTCAAAATGAAAAAATCGCATGGGATAAAAAAGTATGAAAAAATAAAAAAATTTCAGAAAATACTACAAAATCTATATTTAAATCATTATTGGCATCTTTTTATGCGATTGTTTTAGATTTTATAGTTTTATGTCAAGAGGGCATTCTGAATTGACAAAATTTGTCAAAATCGGTCCAGCCATTCTTGAGATATAAGCATTCTAGCTAACATCCCCTTCCTTTGTATATACACATTGTATATATTTCGCTATAAATATCCGATATATTTACTATCGCCATCGACGTACCGGTCAGAATTGAGCTGTTCGTCTATTTGTGATTTCGCCGGGATTAAAAATATTCGCGGTTTAATGGAAAATTGGATTTTCATTTAACACAAATGTTGTGGCCTATTTTACCCACTAAATATTACCCGATGACCATCAAAATTGGAAGACTTCTAGCCACCCCTAAACTCTAGCCCCATGCTAACTTCCGCTTCGATTGGTCCATTATTGCGACCTGTAGAGCAACAGCAAAATCAGTAAATTTTTCAGTTTTTGGTCCATTTCAACCCCTAAATATTATGCGATAATCTCCAAAGGAAATAGGGTTCTATTCTGACCCTAGCCCCACCTCCATTTTAAATTTCGTGAAGATCGGACCATAATTGCGACCTGTAGAGTGATTACAAATTAACATGGACAGACGGACAGACGAACGGACGGACATACATAGCTAGATCGACTCAGCTCGGCGAGATAGGAAGATCCATATATACTTTCCTATGTGGGAAACCAATATTTCGAGCTGTTACATAATTTTTGGCCCAATCAAACTTATAATACCCCCAACACATAGTGTTGTAGGGTATAAATACATATTTTTTGATCAGCGTAAATATTGCAATATTAACTTATCCAGGCCGCCCTTCTGTGAAAATCCATCTAGCTACTGAACGGAATAAAATAGATAATAATTTCGGCATTTAAAATGTTTACTATTGAATATGGGCCATATGGATCCACGTTTTGGTGAAGGTTCCATCATATTTTTCAAACAAATGTTGCAAGTTTCGGTATAGACCTCGTACGACGGTATTTTCGGATATTCTCTATTCAAGCCACATTTTCGCCAAGAAATCATTGCAAATTTGGTAATTTTACCAACCGATATTAGTCACCTTTTTTAAAATTTTCAACATATTTTTCTGTAGATTTTTGATTGAACGAATTATTTGGAAATTTTGTTGCCAACGATAATTCTTATTTATGGACTACAACGTTTTTTTTTTTTTTTAAATTTTGATAGATTACCAAATGACCCAATCTCAGCTCTCATGTTAAACACTTCATCATTTGAGTATCAATGAAATTAGGTGATAATGGCAAATTAAAACGGAAATTAGAATTTGATTTCGTTTGTATCTTTTTTTTTTTTTTTTTTTTTTTGCAATCAGCGATATTTAAAATATTGATGGAATTTTGACAACCTGAAAAATATTACCGATTAGCCAACGATAGCGATAGAAGTAAAAAACCCTCTATCCTAAATGTTGGTCAAATCGGATAGGGGTTAACTATTCATACAGGATGAGATAAAAAACTGCAACAAAGTCAAACGTCATAATTTTTAATTTTTTTTTAATTTTATTGAATGAAAGCAAAAAAATGTCGGAAATAGCATCAAATTTTAGAATAAGTTTAGATTTGTTCGAATTGGTCACCTTTGGCACGAATTATGGCCTTCAAACGACCAATGAAAACGTCACACGCTGCCGCATGTTGCTCTGCGGTATTTTGGCCCATTCTTGGTGATGCGCTTGCTTGAGGTGGTCGACCCTTTGGTATTTTTTAGTGCCAACCTTGCTTTCCAAAATACTCCAAACACAATAGTCCAACGGATTGGTATCCGGAGATTTTGGTGGCGATTGTGCGCTGGAAATGAAGCAAGTAACCTAATTTTGTAACCATTCTTTGGTGGCGCGTGCTGATTGCGATGGTGCTGAGTCCTGTTGGAACGTCTAAGGTTTGCGGCCTAAGATGTTTGCGTGCACAAGGCTTTAATACACCCTCCAGAATATTTTCGCAATAATATTCGACACTTATTCTGATGTCACGGTCGATTAATACGAGCGGAGAGCGACCATCGGCTGTTATGGCGGCCCACACCATCACCATGGCCGGCGCTTGAGTTCTAGTGGCCAACCGTAGGTGCACATTTTCTGCTGACCTCTTTGTTTACAAACTACTGGACAACGAATGTTTTCTCATCGGAGAAAACCGAATTCGGCAGTTCACCACTTTCGGCCAAGCGAAGCAACTCTTTAGATCTTTTGGGACTATTTTCTTTCTGTTCCGGTGTAAGTTCTTGAACTTTTTGGAATTTCTACGGCTTTACCTCGAGCTCATTTTTCAATATTTTCCGAATGGAATATTGCGATTTGTTCAGGTAACGAGCCATTTTTCGGCCTTTGCGACGCGAGTTTCGATCAAGTCGCTTCTTTACTTTTCGAATCATTTCTGCTGATATTGCTGTTTTCTTCCGTCCACTTCATTGACGTCGGGCTACGCTACCAGTATCACGTTATGACTGATGGTACGAAACACGAAAGATTTATTCACATTTAAATGCTGGAGTGCTCTCACGATAGCCACTTGTGGTTTTCCAGCCAATCATAAAGAAATCACACTATCACGCTTGAATTCCATCACGAATAACTTTTTTTCTGGAAAATTCTCACTAAAATGCTTTTGTACGCTTGTAAACAATATAATGAGCTGTCACTGGAATAATTTTAAAAGCTGTCGGACGAGTGGCTTAGAAATGACAGCAATCTGTAGTTGGTTACAGTGTTTTCATCTCACCCTGTATTGGTCTGCCTTGAATGGAGCATGCGATTGGTTCGAATATTTGTACATCGTAATATTTTCTCCAAACATAGATCGAGAGAATAGCTTCCGGTACTTCCCCGCAAAAGTTCAAAATTTGGAACAAAACACGAAACTCGTATTGAGCTAAGGCGAGCGAAGTAGCTGACATGGTTCAAATTTGAATATAATTTGGTGTGAAATTTAGGTTAGACTTAAATTGGGTGCGAAAATATTGGCAATTTTCTCCTTGTTAAAACCTTACGAGTACAAAGTACGAATAACCTGACTCATGACAATTTTTTTTCAAAATCTCTCCTAGGCCTACCCTTTAATATTAACAAATAAATCAATAAATAACAAATAAGATCTCTGTGACTAAAATAAAACTCTGAATAGATTGCCAAGCCAAAAAAAAAAACACGAACCACTATCAAAAGTTTGTCATATCTTTTTGGCTCGCATTTTGTTTCCATGGCTAGGTACTTCAAAGAGATTACTAATCTTGATGTGTTTCTGTTTAGTTTCCCATTTTTTCTTTCTGATTCCGAGAAACCCCCATTGGTGGTGAATTATGTTTTCAGCAGCAAAACAATATGTTATCAATAAAATTTTCCCGATAACTCATTACAGGTGAAATTTGTTAAAATGAATGTTGGACAATTGTTTTGGCGCTACTCAGAAAACCCCCCCCCCCCCCAAAAAAAAAAAGGGCTAGCCAATTGTGGCATTGGCCAACATAAATTGTATTGCGACTTTCAGAATGCCAACACTCAGATAAGAACCAGCTCAAAATACCCATTATATATTAACTTCAGAAACTTCCCCTTTCGTATGTATAAAACTGATACTTTTTGATTTGAAGAATTTATCTCTGACATGTATTAAATGATACGATTTGATAACAGACTTTTCTTTGGTTGAGAGGTGAAAGGGACTAAGTCCCTATTTATTATTAGAGACCGAATACCTTGTATAGATATTCTATAGACCATTAACTTTGCAAAATTTTCTTAGAAACCAAAGACCTTCTAAAGGTCTCCTATAGACCAAATAACTTGTAACGGTATGTTATAGAGCTAAAAACTCGTAAAGGTATTATGTAGACCTCACTCAGGTTTTCTAGATACCGAGGAACCGATCTGTAAGGGTCTTCTATAGTCCGACAACCTTGTTAAGGCCTTCTATGGACCGAAGACCTTGTAAGGGTCAGTTATGAACCCCAGGTCTTGATAAGGTCTTCTGTAGACCAAATATCTTGTAACGGTCTTCTATAGCCTGAAGACCTTGTAAGGGTCTCGTAAAAGTGTTTTCTAGGCCCTAGACCTTATAAAGGTTTTTTGTAGACCGAGAACCCTGTAACAGTCTTCTATAGTCTGAAGACCTTATGTTGTGGACAGAGGACCTTGTAAAGGCATTATATAGACCGTAGACCTTGTAAAGGCCCTCTATACGCCCACAACTTTGTAGGCCAAAGACCTTATAAAGGTCTTTTTTGGATCGAAAACCTTGGAAGAGTCTTCTATGAATCCCAGGCCTTTAAAAGGTCTTCTATACACCGATGAGCTTTTAAGGTATATTATAGAACACAGGCCTTTATGGAACATAGGCCAAAGACCTTATAAAGTTTTTTTTGGGGCGAAAACCTTGGAATTGTCTTCTATGAACCCTAGACCTTTCTAAGGTCTTCTATACACTGATGAGCTTGTAAAGGTCTTTTATGACCAAAGACCTTGCAACGGTCGTCCATAGACCGAAGACCTGGTATCGAATTCCTGGTAAAAGTCTTCTATAGACCTAAGGCCTTATATAGGCCTTCAATACGCCAAATACCTTGTAAAAGTCTGTTATGGTCCCCAGAATTGGTAAAATTCTTCTATAGACCAAAGACCTTGTTAAGGTCAGCTATAGATCGAAGAAGACCATGGTCAGAAGGCCTTTTATAGTCCGAAGAAACCCAAATACTTTATAAGAGGCCATGGAAGGATCTTGTATGGACCCCAGGCCTTGGGAAGATTTTTTGTAGGCCGAAGACCTTGTAAAGATCTTTTATGGAACACATGCTTTGTTAGGGTCTTGTATAGGCCGAAGACCTTATAAGGATCCCCTATAGGCGAAATAATTTATAAAGGGCCCATGGAAGGATCCTGCATGGACCTTTTTAATGCCTTCTATGAAACGAAGACCCATTCAAGGCCATTTAGAGACCGAAAACCTTGTAAAGGTCTTGTATGGACCGAGGCCTTATAAAAGTCTTCTAAAGGCCAAATACCATATAAAGGTATTTTATAGTCCGAAGACCTTGTGAGGATCTCCAATAGGCCAAATACTTTATTAGAGGTCCCTAAAAGGATCTTCTGTGGAACCCAGGCCTTGTGAAGATCTTTTATAGGCCGAAGACCTTGTAAAGATATTCTACAGACCGAAGACCTTATAAAGGCATTCTATATGCCGAAGACCTTGCAATGATCTTCTATAGGCTCAAAATCCTTTTAAGATTTTCTTCGTTGGGATCTTCTATAGACCAAAGACTTCCGCGTATCGCAAGCCTTGCAAAAGTTTTCTATAGACCGAAGACCTTTTAAAGTTCTATATAGAGTGCAGGTCCAGTACAGATATTCTATAGACCGAAGAACTTCTATAGACCGAAGATCTTGTCCTCTATACCAGGAAGATCTTAGAACAGTCTTCTAGAGACCGAGGATCTTTGAAAAGTATTATAAAGATCGCTAAACTTTTGCAGATCTTCAAAACAGAGAAACCTTTTTTAAATGGTTTTCCATTGTGGACTTAACCCCTTTTCTTTCACAACCACGCAACGAGTATTATCTCAATTAATTTTCACAGATTTTAAACAAAGCAAAAAACATATATTTATTTAGTTAACCCAACTAGAGTTCGATTAGTAGTACAACCGTTTTGATCGTTAAAAGTGCCGAGACGAAAAATACAGTCAAACGCTCCAAAGCTGTTGTAAGCAGCTCTAATAAAAAGAATTTTCACATTTTTCCTTTAAAGAACAACTATAATGTCTCAGGGCACAACCGGCAGTGGTGAAGCCCCACCGATTGCGATAAATGTTACAAATGCAACAACAGCAACGACAACCGGACCTGCGCCCAAGATCAGTCGTGGTCGTCTAAATAAGCCACAATCACAAGCAACAGCAGTTGGTAAGTAGCACTGATTGTTATCAGTAAAAATATTTTAGTCAAAAATTCGATTGACATTGACTTTGAGGTAGCAATTGAATTTTGGTGTTATTGTCGGTCAATTGCCAGTAATAAAAAGTAAACGTTCAATAAAAACATTACCATTTCATACGTCACTAGAATTAAATATCTGTGGCACGAACGAAAGGACAGACGCACGACTCAGAATGTGATTCTATGTGGGTCATCAAAAGGAACTACAAGTCTGTCTCGCTTTCTTCTCCATAATTCCACGGCAGTGTGGAATATTTTCATACCCTACACCACAAGGTGGTCAGGGTATTATGTCTTTGTGCATTTGTTTGTAACAGGCAAAAGGATACGAGATTGACCCATAGTTCCTTTTGATGATCTGCATAGAATCACTTTCTGTGTCGATTTATGCATGTCCGTCTGTCCATCTGTCCATGTATTTTTGAAAACAAAGTACTGTTCGCATTTATTGCCCTATCCAGATGAAATTTTGCACAGATCATTTGTTTGGCCCAAGGACGAACCCTATTGAAATTGGAGATAATCGGTCCAAATTTAGATATAGCTCCCATATATATCTTCATCCGATTTGCCTTTTATTGTGCACAAAACGTGTAATATCAGTCCGAATAGTATGGAATTTTGCACGTACGATCAGATTGGACCTGAAAATGAGTATGCCAAATTTGATCGAAATCGGTTCAGATATAGCTATAGCTCCCGTATATATTGTTCATCAGATTTGTTATTTTTGTCCTCCGCAGCCGTAATATGCACTTTATAACAACAATATTTGGGAAAATATATCAAATACAGCTCAGAAAAACATTTGCTAAATTTTATCAAGATAGGTTCAGATTTTGATATAGCTCCCATATATATCTTCGTCCGATTTACCTTTTATTGTGCACCAAACGTCTAATATTTGCCCAAATTGGATGAAATTTAGCCTAGAAGCTAGTATGTCAAATTTGGTGAAGATCGGTTCAGATATAGCTATAGCTCCCATATATACTGTTCATCCGATTTGTCATATTTGTTACCCACAGCCGTAATATGCACTCCGTAACAACGATATTCAGGGAAATATATCAAATACAGCTCAGAAATATCTTTGCCAAATTTTATCAAGATCGGTTCCGATTTGGATATAGTTCCCATATATATTTTTATACGATTTCAAATTAATTGTGCACCAAATGGGCAATACAAATCCGAATTTAAAAGATACAAATGCTTCGGCGTATTTAGTTCTTTGAACTTCAAATTATAATTATAATCATGGCGTATATGATTGAATTCTCCCATAAAAACTTGTAATTGTTATGCGCAGCTCTACTAAATTAGCAAAGTGGTGTAGGGTATCATAAAGTCGGCCCCGTCCGACTTTAAGAGTTTCTTTACTAGTTTAATACTTAAATTCATCTCCCGCGAAACCACATCCAAGGCATTTCGATCTTTATATTGATGCTGTTCTCGTTGCAGTTAAAACTCGAATATCGGGGTTATAGCAAAATATTTACAAAAATCTAAATTTTCAATTATTGTTTTGAATTCCCATTAGCACAACAGAAGACGTAAATATAGGGCAATTTTCATGAAATTTTCCATGGTCTCATGGCTCCGGTCAATAATATTGTGCGACGAAATTCAGATTTTTAATAAACATCAAGGAGACCAAAAAGCTTATGAAATTAGTAAAAATGCATCTAAGTTCGGGCGGGCCGAACTTTTTATACCGTACAACATTCGGAAGGAACTTAAAAATTTTCAATAAAAATTCCGTCGAAAAAAACGCTCATTTTTTTCATAGGCTATAGCAACGATTTCCGGTGAATACTGTCGCCAATATCATCAAAATATCGAATAAAGGGAGGTACTGTTGTATCGGGGCTATACTAAGACGTGGACATGCATAGACAATTTTTCTTCATAGGTTGTAATACCCATTACGCACTTCAAATACGAAATTTGACACAATTCCGGTGAAAATATGGCTAAAATCATTAGTAGCGTTATATGGGTGCTATACAATACGTAGACCTATATAGACAATTCTCTTCCAGGGGTGAAGTACTCAGTGGAAACTCCTTGTGTAGAGTTTTAGACAATGTCATTAAAATGAAATGTCTAAAATCATCAAAATGCCGAATGTCGGTAGGTACAGTTATATGGGTCCTATACAATATCCTGGTCCGCTCATCTTCGAACTTGGCCTGCCAGTAGACAAAAGACAGACATATTTTAGTTTCCTATCTTTATTCGTTTTGACTCTAACGTAATTACAACAGACGGGCGGACGGATTGGGCTAAATCAATCTTTACGCTGATCAAGAATATATATATTTTGTTGGGTCTAAAATTATTGTTTCGATGAGTTACAAGCGGAACATATATTCGGTGTTTTTATGATTTTCAAAAGTATTTTTTTACGAATTTTTTTTTAGTTTCCAAATTCCTTCCAAATGGTGAAGATTATTCAAAATTCGCCCCGGTCGAACCTTCTGCTTTGTTACTTGTTAAAGTTTACATCGGGATAGGGTTGGAAAGTTCGGCCTATTTTTATACCGTCCACCTAAAATGTAAAGATTCCAAAATTCTGAAATAAAAAAAAAGTTCTCGGTGTTAATAAATTAATTTCAACCATAAAAATTCAATTCAGGCGATTCTAACCCTAATTAGACAAGCATTCTATCGCTCTTCTGTATAAACCCCATATAGCGTTATTTCCTGATTTTCGGTGTTTTGATTTCGGCAAATTTTTATGTGTAACTTGTTATTTAGATTTCTGAGTTGCTGTAATCTCCCTATGAAAAAAGAAACATGTAAAAAAACATTAATTTCGGTCGGGCCGATCTTTTAATACCCTCCACCTTAGGCATTAGAACACATTATGACTCACAAATGACAACTTTTAGACAAATTTGTGGGAAAGTGTGGCAAAAATCATCAAAATATCGAATATCGGGAGGCGCCGCTATATGGGGCTACACTAAAACGTGGACCTATACATGCAATGTTTCTCCAACGGAGGTACAACCCATAATGACCCACAAATAAAAATTTTTAGACAAATCCGCGAAAAAATGTGGCAATAATAATCAAAATACAGAATATCGGAAGGTACCGGCATATGGGGGCTATAAGAAAACCTAGACCTATACATACAATGTTTCGCCAACGGAGCTAGAACCCATTATGACCTACAAATACCAATTTTTAGACAAATCCGTGAAAAATGTCTATTCGTCTGTCCGTCTGTGGAAATCACTCTAGCTTCCGAATGAATTGAAGTAGATTGATAAAATTTTGCTCAAATGTTTGTTATGTCTGCAGGACTTTTGGCCATGTAGGTCCACGCTTTGGATTAGCGCCCCTTTTAACGGTACCTCCCGATATTCGGTATTTTCGTGATTTTAGCGACATTATTCACCGGAATTGTTTCAAATTTGGTATTTGAAGTTCGTAATGGATACTACAGCCTATGACAGAAAATAATCTGTGCAGACCCACGTCTTCGTATAGCCCCCATGTAACGGTACCTCCCGATATTCGATATTTCAATGATTTTAAGAACATTTTTCACCAGAATTTGATATTTGAAGTCCGCAATGGTACCTGCCCATATTCGGTATTTTGATTTTATCGACATTATAACCGATTTTTTTAAGTTTCGCATTTGAATATTGTAATGGCTTATGACAAATGTTACCCATGCAGGTTCATGTCGTCGTATAGACCCTAATATAATAGCTATATTCGGAATTTTTAACTGATTTTATTGTTTTTGAGAACTGCCAAATTTGTTCCAAATGGTGGGGTGTATTCAAAGTTCGGCCCGGCCAAACTTACAGCTTTTTTACTTGTCATTTTTTAAATGAATCTCCGATTTTACTTGTTTTTAAAATATTTGCCTTTATTTCATTTACAGGAGCCCTTCTGTTCACTTCGGCCGGCATGAACATGGCCATGGGTTTGGGCTGGGCCGAAAATGCTCTCTACGCCTGGACTAACCATTTCTGTTATTCTTGGTTCATAGGAGTGATTATTGGAGCTGTAGTCTCGGTACCGTTTAGCCATTTTATGACGGCAAAGAAAAAATGGATAATGGTTAGATTCGAAGTACGATTTTAAGTAACGTCAGCAAAAACCAATCCCCAATTCTCTTTTTTTTTTCTCTAGGCCACATCGGCTTTCATCATTCTCTTTGAGGGCATTCTCTTTGCCGGTGTACCACGAGACTATGACACATTGTTGGCGGCCCGGTATCTCAATGGCATTGCCATTGGTTTGATGGCGGTACCATTTCTCATACATGCCAGTGAAATTGCCGTGGATTCGTATCGCGGCAGCTGCCTTATGACTGAACAATATTCCATATCCTTTGGCATTGGCATACAAATGATTTACTCATCTTTTTGGCCGGCTACGGTGGATTTTCCCGCCAATCGATTTCATGGAATTCTGGATATAGTCTATAGTATATTGACCCTGGTCTTCATATCCTTCTTTACGGAATCTCCGATTGATTTTATACGCAAAGGAGATGATATGGCTGCACTGGATTGTTTGGCCCGCCTGCAAAATCCCAAGATTGTGAATGCCAATACGCATGCGCGTTTGGAACAGCAGAAATATTATTATCAGGAGCAAAACTATGCAACAGTGGAGAAATGTGTGAAAAAGAGTTTGGTGCCTTTGTTGAAAATGCTGGTGTTTCGCAGTGCCCTGTTGGCCTTCTCCTACAATTTGCCCTTGAACATAACGCTGAAATATAGTGTCCTCTTGAATGGTGATATTTGGGCTGGAACTGTGGCTGGAGTTTGCCGGATCGTTGGTGTTTTCTTGGCCTTTATCATGGTGGATCATGCACCCCGAAAGATACCCTCAACAATTTCGGCCATCATTCTGGGTGGTCTACTCATTGGCCAGGGGACATTGTTCAAAGATATCTACAATATTTTGAATTGGAGGGGTATTAACACAGCCATGGCCCTGTATATAGTTATCCAAGCCTTTGGGGGATTTTATAGCTCCTACACCTCGGTATATTTGGCCGAAGCATTTCCCCTCAAGGTGAAGCCATATTTCATGACATTCTGTGTGATCATGGAGGCAGTTATTCAGATTATATTTATTCAAACCATATCGCTGAGAATTGGCAACAACCTTTTGATTCAGGGTATTATAACATTGGTGGCTGGCATCGCCTTCTTCTTTGTAATGCCTGAAACCAAAAATTCCTCATTGGCCGAGGCCCAGGAGGGTTATAGTAAATTGCTCAATTTTAAACGTAAGTGAGCTGTTAGCATTGGAAAACGACACAAACTCGAAGCATTATTAAATTATTTTTAATATATATATTTTTTTTTAATATTTGTCATTGAAATTTATTTTGCAAAAAAATTAAAAAAATTTGTAAAACCACAAAAAAATCATTTGTGGTTCAATTCACATTCATTTTTAAGAAATCCAAACAATACAATTTGCTAGTAGTAAAATAAAAACTGAAAATAAATATTTAAAATAAATCGAAGAAAGAAAGAGAAAATGAGAACAAAAGTTGTGTTGAGTGTGGTTTCAGTTGGTGTCATTGTTTTATTTTTACATCCGTTTTCATAACTCATAATCATCTGTCCATGATATTCTATCAATCGTGATTTAGTCTCGCCCAGTGCAGATCTAGAACAATAAGTGATCGTATAGAGAGTTATTGTTTTTTTTTTTAATCCGTTCAGAGTAATTTGTGGAAATGTCACAGTCTCCAACTGGAGCACCAGTGGTGTGTGAAATCGGAGGAACCCAGCCGAGTCCGGCAGCAATGCCAACCTGGTATAGCCGTCATCATTTGGCTTCCATGGCTGGAGGTAAGCTGTAATCAGTATACAAACTTCTATCAGAATTCCCGGTGGAACTGCTTTGATTGTGAAATTTATCGGAGATGGGGAAGAAACATATTTCCCGTGTTATATTAATTTTGTCATTCCATTTGTAACTCCTCGATATACCTCGATATAAAAAGTCGGATAAACCCAAAAAATATATGATATATGTTGTGGATCAGCGTAAAAGTCCAAGCCGATTAGCGATGGCCGTCTGTCTGTCCGCTATCCTTCAAAAATTTTGCACACTTGAGCAATTTCCCAGTAGAGAGGTTAAATTTGTAAATGAGCTATGTCGGTCGACGTTTTCGTATAGCCCTCCATACAAAGATACCTCCCAAATTGTTTAAAATTTCGTATCTTAAGATCTTAAAGGGTACTGCAGCCTGTGACAAAAAAAGCATATTACATATGCAGGTCCACGTCTTCGTATATCCCTCACATAATGGTACCTCCAAATATTCGTCATTTTAATTATTCTAGATACATTATTCAATGCAATTGCATGAAATTTTTTAATTGACGAATTTTTTGGGTACTACAACATATGAGATAAATTTGTCTATGCAGGTTCACGCCACCGAATAGCCTTCGTATACCCCCCAATATTCGGTATTTAGATGATTTTAGCGACATTATTCACCGGAGTTGTTTCAAAATTCATATTTAGAGTTTATAATGGAAACTACAGTCTATTACAGAAAATTGGCCCCATATATCAGTACCTCTCTATATTTTTTTTTTTTTTGAAATTTCGTATTTGAAATTCCTAATAGTTATAACAGCCTGTGAGAAAAAGTGTCTATGCAAAAGTGTCTATGCAGATCCTCACCTTCGTATAGCCCCCATAAAATGGTACCTCCCAATATTCGGTATTTTAATGATTCTAGAGACATTATTCACCGTAATTTCGTAGTTTCGTCTTTAAAGTTCGGAATCAATACTACGACGTACGAAAAAAAATTACGTATGCAGGCTCATGCCTTCGAATAGCCCCCACACAAGGTATTTGTTATGTTATATAAATTCGGTATTTTTGTGATTTTTAACGACATTATACACCAGATTTTTTTTTCAAATTTGAAGATCGATATACCCTTTGTATAGCCACCATATAAGGGTTTTCGGTTAGGCAGTATTTTCCGGCGGATTTATTTTTTTGAAAGTTTTAAAGTTAAAGAGGTGTTAAGAGTTTGGTCCGGTCGAAATTATTCTATATTTTTTGTTTTCTTTTTTTTGAAATAAAACTCAATTTTGAACAACATTGGAGGCAACCTTTTATTATTATATTCTCAGTCCTCAGGTATATCTCATTTGTTACGACCAAAACGTGCCTCATCGAATCATCGGTTTTTGACCCTAGGTCTCTTTGGACCAAATCCGTTTCAGGACATTTGGAATCGATCCAGAGGAGTCAGTCCATCTGTCTGGTTAGTACGCACGATAGCTCTCGAAAAGAGTATCCGATTGGGTGCATCGCAATATTATTGTCAATTTTAGATCGAGTTGGGAGATGGGAAATATCGGTCCACTCCTTCTAGTACCTCCCCTACAAAAGGTCCAAATTTTCGCCGAATATAATTTACCTTATATAACAAGATAGGATCATTCAACTTTGTGCACACCTTGCAAATTCCAATATTTTTACCTAAGTCATGTGAAGTGTTAAAATAGACAATCCAGGTCCACTTCATCATGTGCCTCCCACATAATTGCAACTCTTATAAAATGCGAAAAAATTATCTGATTCTGGCACATTACAATATTTCTGCTAACACAAGATTTGATGTGTAGATGGAATTTATCAGCCCCATAACTCTGGTATCCCCCTCAAAGGGGTCAACATTTTGAATAACGAAGACATCATAAATAGCAAAATGAGCATATGATTCTTTTGAAACGTAACACATCCCAATATTTCCACCTACACAAGATCTTGTATGGAGATGAGCTACATCCGCCTAATCCTTCTGGTACCTTCCCCACAAAAGGGTCAACGTTTTGAATAATTATGTCTCATATAACATATTATATAAGAAATCGATTGTCTTCAAGTTTTGCACATCTCAATATTTTTACCAACACAGAATCTGGTATGGAGATCAAATATATCTCACCTCTTCTTCTGGTACCTCCGCCACAACATGTCAAAATATTGAATAAGTATACCTATAAGAAAATGCGAAATAATAACCCGATTCTTTTCAAATTTCACACATACCAATATTTTTATTGACAAAATTTTTGGTTTGAATATGAGATATATCGGTCTACTTCTCCTGGTTCCCACACCCCTATAACGGGTCAAAATGTAGAATAATTATCTCTCATAAAATGCGAAAAATTATTTGATTCTTTCTAAACTTCGCACATTTAAATATTTCTATTGACACTAGATCTGGTCTGAAGATGATAAATATCGGCCCACCCCTTCTGGTACCTCGCCACAAAGGGTCATAATTTTCAGTATTTTTATATCTAATAACTTGCGGAACATGTCAACGAAGCTATTCAATGTTGGCACCTTCCCCACAAAAATTGAGCATTTTGATTATAATTTATTCGCATAAATTAGAGAAAAATGTCCAGTATTTGATGAAGTTCAACAGCTATATCAAACTTAACACATATCCTCAAAATTGTCCAAAAAATATCAAAGATCTCAGGGTAAGATAAAAAAAAACTGCAACAAAGTCAAACGCAATAATTTTTACTTAATTTTTTTCTTAATTTTATTGAATCGCCTCTGTCTCCAAATCATAAAATGTCGGAAATAGCGTCAGAATTTAGATTAAGTTTAGATTTGTTACAATTGGTCACCTTTGGTACGAATTATGGCCTTCAAACGGCCAATGAAACCGTCACTCTCAGCCCGCATGTTGCTCTGCGGATTTTGGCCCATTCCCGGTGAAGCGCTTGCTTGCGTTGATTGACACTTGGGTATTTTTTTTTTGCTTTCCAAAATACTCCAGACACAATAGTCCAACGGATTGGTATCCGGAGATTTTGGTGACCATTGGTGAAGCGAGGAACCTCATTTTATAACCTTGAGCGGTCTTGGGTGGCGCGTGTCTGAGTCCTGTTGGAATGCCCAAAGCCGAAATGTTTGCGTGCCCAAAACAAACTCCAATATATTTTCGCGATAATATTCGGCATTTATTCTGATGCCAGCGAGCACAATTTCGACATATGCATTTTTATGTCATTGGGATTGTAAACTAAGTGCCAAATATTAAACAACATCGGTTAAAAAGTTGTTAATATCATCAGAAAACCAAATATCGAAAGGTACATGTACCAAAATGTAAACCCATATGACCCGTTTAAGAACTTCACCTACTGAGAAAACCTGTCGTTCCATTTTAAGGACGCTAAACTGATTCGGTACGTTTTACATCGGGTCATTCTAATGTGAGCTCTAATGAAATTTCAGATGGTGCAACAAATAATGCTAATGGGAAAGTAACGCCACTAGGATTACTATTGACGTTAATCGATGCCATAAACGTTATGGCCAAATCATTATGGGACGAATGGACCGAAGAATACAAGGAAATATCTCAAAGGGGTAATATTTTTTTCCACGAAACTTTCATAACATATCTCAAAACAAAAATTAGTTCTCATTTAAAATATGTTGAAATTTACAAGGGAAAGGTAATGAAAGTAGATTTAGCAAATTAAAAAGGGTTAGTCGGTTTTGCCGACAGATGTATACACTCAGTCAATGTTAATTTATTAAAATATATTCAGCATGCGTTATAGAGCTTTTTTTCTGAAAAAATGTGGGTTTTTCGAAATTTTCATTTCTCGAAAACGGTTAAAGATATTGAGAACAAGTAAAAAACTGTAATTTCGGCTGGAATACCCTCCACCATTTGATAATTTTCAAAAAATAAATAAATAAAATTAAAAAATAAATAAAAAAATTCTGTTAAAATCTTAAAAATACCGAATATAGACAATATATTAGGGTATATATGACGACGTGGACCTGCATCATCAAAATACCGAGTATAGGATTATATGGGGGCTATACCAAAACGTGGACCTGCACAGAAAATATTCTATTATAGGCTGAAGTATCCATTACGAACATCAAATTCCAATTTTGGTAAATAATGTCGCTAAAATCATCAAAAATACCGAATATCGGGAGGTACCGCTATACGAAGGCGTGGACCTGCACAGACAATTTTCTGTCTTAGGCTGTAGTATCCATTACGAACTTCAGCCATAAAATTTGAAACAATTCCGACGAATAATGTCGCTAAAACCATCAAAATACGGAATATCGAGAGGTGCCGTTGTATGGGGGCTATACAAAGACGTGGACCTACAAAGACAATTTTCTGTCATAGGCTTTAGTATCCATTTCGAACTTCAAATACCAATTTTGAAACAATTCCGGTGAATAATGTAGCTAAAATCATCAAAATACCGAATATCAGGAGGTACCGCTATTTCGGTTTTAGGCTGTATTATCCATTAGGAACTTCATATACCAAATTTAAACCCATTTGGGTAAATAATGTCGCTAAAATCATCAAAGTACCGAATATCGGGATGTACCGTTATATGAAGCCATACCAAAACGTGGACCTACATGGCCCATTTTCAATACCAAAAGTCCTGCAGACATAATATATATTTGAGTAAAACTTTATCAACCTACTTCATTTCGTTTGGAAGCTAGAGTGATTTCCACAGACGGACAGACGGACGGACATCGCTAAATCGACATAGAGTTTTCGAGGTGTTACAAAGGGAATAACAAACTTAGTATACCCTCCATACTATGGTGTTGGGTATAAAAAAACAGCAAAAGTTAGCACAAATCAAGCGCAATTCAGCATATCTTTAATTTTTCAAAGTTCAAAAGTTCTGCTATACATTCGATTTTTTTCGCATTTGGTAACAGATATCGAAACTAGAATATTTTCCAAAAAAAAAGTTTTTTTTTAATAATCTTCGAAATTTTTCAAATTTTGAAAAAAAAAATTTTAAATTTTATTTTTAAAATTTATTTTTTTTTTTTTTTCGATTTTTCGTTTTTTCCACCCCACAAAATTGTTAATTTTTCGAAATTGCAATTCTGGCATACTTTCAAAATGTTCGTTTTTTTCGAATTTGGTAAAAGATACCGAACAAAATTATTAGGTACAAATTAGCACAGACCCAGTACAATTCAGCACAACTTTAATTTTTTCGAAATACGAAAAAAATCTGATATTATAAAAAATTTACCACAATTAAACGCAAAATTAAAATTTTAATTAAAACATTTTGTTTCGATTTTTCGTTAAACAACTGATAATTTTCAATTTTGGCATAGTTTTGAAATTATCGTTTTCCATTTCGACTAACCGCTAATGCAGACCACATGCAGGATCTACAATTTGGTGGGGTAATAAGTAAAACATTTAAATCATTTCTCTTACAGGCGCTCTATTGTTCATTTCTGGAGGCATGGCCTTTGCCCATGGCTTGGAATGGGCCTCGTTTCGTGTTACTGGCTTTACGCAACATTTCCACAGCTCCTGGTTTATTGCAATGATGATTGGTACCGTCATTTCGATGCAAATTAGCAAATATATACCCAAGAAATTTATAATGGTATGTAGAGCTATTTGAAAATGGATCCATAAATAATTATTGCCTTTTTTCCAGTTGACGTCCTCCCTACTGATTCTGGCTGGCGGTATAATATTTCTGGCCGATCACAGTACCATAGATGCTCTGGTGGCTGGACGTTATCTCAACGGCATTGCTGTGGGCCTGCTGACCACACAATTCCTCTGTCACACTGGTGATATTTCTCGGGTAAATGAGCGGGGGGCCTGTCTGGGTCTGGAACAATTCTCACTGACCCTGGGCATGACTGTAGAAATGATAATCACCACACAGTGGGGTGTGGAATCACATCTTTCGGCCAATCGTTTACATGGCCTATTGGATGTAGTGTTGGCCCTGCTCTCAGCCATTGCCTTGTGGTATTTTGTGGAATCTCCAGTGGATTTTTTACGCATGCGCGATGAGCCGTCAGCATTGGCCAGTTTGGCAAGGCTACAACGTCCGCCAAAGGTGAACAAGAATACCAGTGTTTTGCTGCAGGAACACAGTGCCTATTTGAGTGAGCAGGAGAATCTTGGTGCCCGCAGTTGGTTGGGACCTTTGGCAAAAATGCTGATATTTCGCAGCATGATGTTGGCTTTCACATTCTCCTTGCCGCTGTCGAAAATTTTGGAACACAGTGCAGCCACAAATGTTGAGCAATGGCCCATCATAACAACGGCCTGTCTACGTTTGGTGGGTAGTTTCGTGGCACTAGTTGTAATCGATAAAGTTGGTCGAAAGCTGCCTTCGCTGTTTGCAAGCTTTTGCGCAGGTGCCCTTATGCTGGCCATTTCGGTTATATGTCTTCATCGCCTGCATCGTCTAACCGATTCCACGCTAATGTCCTATGTTGCCGTATTGTGTATGGCCCTACAATTCTCGGCTGGGCTATTTGCTCCAATTAGCTCGGCCTATATGGGGGAGGCATTTCCCATTAAGGCCAAACAGTATTGTGTGGCAGCCTGTGTTATCCTCGAACAAGTCATACATGCCGGTGTTATCGTTGCCAATGTTGGCTATGGTGTAAGAGGTCTCCTACTGGCGGAGAGTATAATGATACTGATTGCAAGCCTATATTTTTGCCTAACAATGCCCGAAACAAAGCATAAAAATTTGAGAGAAGCCCAGAAAATGTTTCGATATTTCTTTAATTGGAAATTTTATTGAATGTATTTGAGTTATATTGTAAAGCATTTTTAAATTGAGTTAATAAAACAATGCCAGATTAAGTTATTATTCGTCGTTAATGCCAATAACTGATGGTGTAGATATTTTGGTTTACCTGGTGTGAATAATGCAGGTAAGTACAATTTGCTGTAAAATTAAATTGTTTTCTGTACTCCCTCTGGCTTTGACCTTGAGAAAAAGATTTCTCGAAGCAAATTTTTAGTCAAATTTTTAGCAGCATTTTAGTCTTTACCATGGGTGGAAAATTCTAACCCATAGCCATAACCATAGCAATAACCTTGAACAACAATGGCAACAACAAAAAAAATAACAAAAGAGAAAATACAATGCCAATAACGAGAGTAATATTAACCAAGCAGCCCGAATGTACATTAGCAGCATCACTAAAAATTTTGCCAATGACGAGTTGCCTTTACTTCATGCGAGAAATAATTCTCATATACTTGGTTCTTCTTTTGGTTCAGACGGAGGGGATTCATAGCAGCTTTCATACACTCCACCATAGTATGGAGGGTATATTAAGTTTGTAACACCTGGAAATACACACTTTAGACCCCACAATTTATATATATTCTTGATCATCATAAAATTCTATGTCGATTTAGCGGTGTTCGTCCGTCTGTGGAAATCACTCTAGCTTCCGAAAGAATTGAAGTAGATTGATAAAATTTTGCTCAAATGTATGCTATGTCTGCAGGACTTTTGGTATTGAAAATGGGCCATGTAGGTCCACGTTTTGGTATAGCCCCCATATAACTGTACCTCCCGATATTCGGTATTTTGATGATTTTAGCGACATTTTTCACCGGAACAGTTTCAAATTTGGTATTTGAAGTTCGTAATGGAGCCTAAGACAGAAAATTGTCTGTGCAGGTCCACGTCTTCGTATAGGCCCCATATAACGGTACCTCCCGATATTCGGTATTTTGATTATTTTAGCGAATTTCTTCACCGGAATTGTTTCAAATTTGGTATTTGAAGTTCATAATAGATACTACAGCCTAAGACAGAAAATTTTCCGTGCAGGTCCACCAGAATTGTTTCTAATTTGATTTTTGAAGTTCGTAACGGATACTACAGCCTACGACAGAAAATTGTATGTGCAGGTCCACGTCTTCGTATAGCCCCCATATAACGGTACCTCCCGATATTCGGTATTTTGATTTTATCGACATTATAACCGATTTTTTAAGTTTCGGATTTGAATATTGTAATGGCTTATGACAAATGTTACCTACGCAGGTTCATGTCGTCGTGTAGACCCTAATATAATAGCTACATTAGGTATTTTTAAGATTTTAACAAGAGTTTTAACGGATTTTATTGTTTTTGAGAATTGTCAAATTCGTTCCAAATGGTGGAGGGCTTTCAAAGTTCGGCCGGCCGAACTTACAGCTTTTTACTTGTTTAAATTCTCGGAGTATAATTTGTAGTTGTAGCCTTAAGACATGACTGTATTCGTACTAGAACGGTATTCCGTTCCGTACCATATTAAAAGGTACTAAATATGATACTCCTTGTATTTGAAAAAAACAGTAGTGCTAGAACTTTTGAATTTGAAATAAGGGTCACTGAGTGTATAAAATATGTACCAAAAGGGGTTTTTTGAAATTCGCACCATAAATGTAAGAAAAGTACTAAAATGTACTATATTTGGTACTATCTCTTAGCACGTGAATGGTAATAGCTTAAAACAATGTTGAGGAGTAGAGTCGATGTAAGGAAACTAATTTTTAAAATGTGTACTCATGTATACAAAAAGTACTAAATGGTACTAAGTTTTAGTACAATTTTAATTTGGAGGAACGTTTGGAGTTGGAATCCTGAAATTTGAAATGAACATTACTGGCGAAGTGTAGAATTGGGATATGGAAGAAGTTTTCGAAAATTGTACTTAGGTACACGAAAAGTACTAAATGGTACTAAATTTGGTACAATTTCGATTTCGATGAAACGAAAGTGCTGGAATTCGAAAAATTAGAAATAAAATTACTATTGCATTCTAGGACCGAGGATTGTAGACAGTTTTGGAGATTCGTACTTATGTGTAATAAATGGTACTAAATTTGCTACAATTGAAATTTTGGTCGAACAAGTGGAATTGGAACCCTGAAATTTGGAAATAAGATTACTAAAGCATTGTACGATTGGGGTGTGTAGGTAATTTTGGAAATTCGTACTTATGTGTACTAAATGGTACTGAATTTGATACAATTCAAAATTTTGGGAGAATCAATATAATCCTGAAAGTTGGAAATAAGATTTCTATTGGATGATGCAGATAGTTATGAAAATTTGTACTTAAGTGTACTAAATGATACTAAATAATGATACAATTTGGATTTGGTTGAACCAATAGAGCTGGTATTTTGGAAATTTGAAATCAGATTACTGTCGGAGTGTAGGATCGGGATATGTAGGTAATTTTGGAAATTTGGCTGTATGTGTAGTAAATGTTACTAAATTTTGGTACAAATTGGAATTAAATGAACCGATGGTGCTGGAATTCGAAAATTTGAAATGAGAGACACTGATGGAGTGCAGGATAGCTGTATAGCTTGAATATATGAAATATTCTAAAATGTTACTAAACTCCTAAAATGGTACCATTTGGCATTATGTAAATGGAAATTAAGGGTGGAAAGTAAGTTCGATATATGAAGGTTGTCTTGGAAGTGTGAACTAAGTGTACGAACTGTACCAAATGGTACTAAATTTGGAACAGTTTGATTTAGTGTGAAGGAATGAAGCTGAAACTTCGAAATTTAGTATTGGAGTCCGTGTTGGTGGTAGATTTGTGATAAAGAGGAAACATATACTACAAGCACACGAAAAGTACTAAATAGTACTATATTTGGGAAATCTGAAATTTGGTATTGGGGTCACTGTTTAGATTCAGCGTGGACATATGGCGATGGTTTCGGAATTGTGTACTATAATTGTAGGGACTGTATTTAAAGGTACTAAATTAGGAAGAGTGTGTTTTAATGCGAACGAATGAAGCTGGATATTTGAAATGTTGGTATTGAGGTTTATGACAAAAATATGGTTTTTGAAATGTATACGACAAGTGCCCGAAAAGTACTACATTGTACTATATTTGGTACAATTTCGTATTGGGTAAACAGATATTGCTTGCAATGGGGAAATTTGGTATTACGGTCGCTGTTTATGTGTAGCCTGGATATATGGCAGTGGTTTTGGAAATGTGTACTATAATTGTCCGAAAAGTATTGAATGCTGCTAAATTAGGTATTGGATGAGAGAATCGGGCTTGAATTATCAAATTTTATATTGAGGCATCTGTTGGTGTCTGTGATTAAGACATGGAGGTATATTTGGAAATGCGTACTATGTTTCGTAAAAAAATAACTAAATGGTATTAAAGTTAATATAGGGTGAAAGTTTTGGGCTGGAATTCCGCAATTTAATGTAGAGGTCTATATTGGTATCTGGAATTGAAATATGATGGGGGTTTTGGAAATGTGCACTATATTTGTACGAAAAGTACTAAATAATAATAAATATGGTATTGGGTGAACTGAAGTCCTAAAATTTGTCAGGATTCACTCTTAGTGTCTGTGGTTGAGATATGGGGATTTTTTTTTGAAAATGCGTACTATAATTGTTCGAAAAGTACTAATTAGTACTAAATTTGGTATTGGTTGAGGTAATAGAGCTGAAATCCTTAAACTTGATATGGATGTCACTGTTGGTGTCTGTGGTTGAAAGAAGGACCTTGTTTTAAATAGGTGTACAAAAATTGTACTAACTTTGGTAATGGGGCAAATTACAGAGCTGAAATCCTCAAATTTTATATTATGGTCGTCATTGTTGGTATCTGCGATTGAGATATGGAACGAAAGTACTATATGAAATGAAAGTACTAAAAAAAGTACTAAATGTTACTAAATTTTGTATTGAGTGAATTTATATAGCTGGAATGCTGAAATTTTGGTATCGATGTTTTTGTTGGTTATAATGAAAAGAGACGTTGAAATTGTTTTGGTCAAAAAATTTGATCTGCGTCCCTTTTGCAAAGGTTTTACAAATATCCTACTCGGTAAACTTCGAAATGAGTAGAGGGTACTTGCTATTTCTTAAAATTTTCCACAGTGTTATTTGCTGAGTGCATATTTTTCGCTCATAATTCATATCACTGAGTGAAGGGGTAACCTTTAGTATACCTATTTAGATTGTGGGGGGCTTTACAAAGTTATTGGCTATTATTTTGATAAAACCGATCCAAGTCTAAAAGTGTTATCCCAATCAAATATGGGATGTCCCGTTTCCAAATCTAAAACTGCTAGAGTGACCAAGAGAGCCAATACTTTTCTTTGAATTCTTGTGAAATTATTAATTGGCAATCAAAAGTGAAACATTTGTTGGCAAGGTTTCCACATATCAGATATTCGAGGAGGTGAACGTGAACCCTGGCAAATCTATATTTATGAACACTAGCTTTATCTGGGTATTGTTTATTAGCCATACACCTGTTGTTATCTAATAAACATTATCAATAATGTCCAAAATATTAAACATTTTTTTGGGCATCAGTCGTCATCAAGACGTTGATGGGAGTAGTCGAAATATATTTATTAAATAAAAAAACCTGCTGGATTTCCTTAGTAAAATTAACGAACAACCATGCAAACAACCGCCGGTTCAAAGAGACCACCCCCCATGACAATGGGAAACTTTCAACCTGGATATATGGCAACCCTGGGTGCCGGTGAGTCTTACTTTTTTAATGGACGATCTAGGACCATTGTTGGATTTTGAAAAGTTTATTTCCAGAAGACCATCAAGGCTATAAACGTGGATATTTTACAGAATATTTTTCAAGGACCATCAGTGCTGTAAACATGGATTTTTTAAAGAATGTTTTTCAAGGACCATCAGGGCTATAAACGTGGATTTTTTAAATAATAGTTTTCAAGGACCATCTGGGCTATAAACGTGGATTTTTTAAAAAATATTTTTCAAGGTCCATCAGGGCTATAAACGTGGATTTTTTAAAGAATATTTTTCAAGGACCATCAGGGCTATAAACGTGGATTTTTTCAAGAATATTTTTCAAGGATCATCGGGGCTATAAACGTGGATTTCTTAAAGAATATTTTTCAAGGACCATCACGGCTATAAACGTGGATTTTTTTTATAGAATATTTTTCAAGGATCATCGGGGCTATAAACGTGGATTTCTTAAAGAATATTTTTCAAGGACCATCACGGCTATAAACGTGGATTTTTTTATAGAATATTTTTCAAGGACCATCACGGCTATAAACGTGCATTTTTTTACAGAATATTTTTCAGGGACCATCGGGGCTATAAAAGTGGATTTTTTAAATAATATTTTTGAAGGACCATCAGGCAGTAAACATGGATTTTTTAAAGAATATTTGTCAAGGACCATCAGGGCTATAAATGTGGATATTTTACAGAATATTTTTCAAGGACCATCGGGGCTATAAACGTGCATTTTTTAAAGAATATTTGTCAAGGACCATCAGGGCTATAAACGTGGATTTTTTAAAGAATATTTTTCAAGGACCATCGGGGCTATAAACGTGGATTTTTTAAAGAATATTTTTCAAGGACCATCGGGGCTATAAACGTGGATTTTTTGAAGAATATTTTTCAAGGACCATCGGGGCTATAAACGTGGATTTTTTAAAGAATATTTTTCAAGGACCATCGGGGCTATAAACGTGGATTTTTTTAAGAATATTTTTCAAGGACCATATATAAACGTGGATATTTTACAGAATACTTTTCAAGGACTATCAGAGCTATAAACGTGGATATTTTACAGAATATTTTTCAAGGACCATCGGGGCTATAAACGTGGATTTTTTAAAGAATATTTTTCAAGGACCATATATAAACGTGGATATTTTACAGAATACTTTTCAAGGACTATCAGAGCTATAAACGTGGATATTTTATAGAATATTTTTCAAGGACCATCGGGGCTATAAACGTGGATTTTTTAAAGAATATTTTTCAAGGACCATCGGGGCTATAAACGTGGATTTTTTGAAGAATATTTTTCAAGGACCATATATAAACGTGGATATTTTACAGAATACTTTTCAAGGACTATCAGAGCTATAAACGTGGATATTTTACAGAATATTTTTCAAGGACCATCGGGGCTATAAACGTGGATTTTTGAAAGAATATTTTTCAAGGACCATCCGGGCTATAAACGTGGATTTTTTAAAGAATACTTTTTCAAGGACCATCAGGGCTACAAAATAGATTTTTTAAGGAATATTTTTCAAGGACCATCAGGGCTATGAACGTGGATTTTTTAAAGAATATGTTTCAAGGACCATCACGGCTATGAATGTGGATTTTTTTAAAGAATATTTTTCATGGACCATCAGGGCTATAAACATGGATTTTTTAGAGAATATTTTTCAAGGACCTTCAGGGCTATAAACGTGGATTTTTTAAAGAATATTTTTCAAGGACCATCGGGGCTATAAACGTGGATTTGTTAAAGAATATTTTTCAAGGACCATCGGGGCTATAAACGTGGATTTTTTAAAGAATATTTTTCAAGGACCATCGGGGCTATAAACGTGGATTTTTTAAAGAATATTTTTCAAGGACCATCGGGGCTATAAACGTGGATTTTTAAAGAATATTTTTCAAGGACCATCGGGGCTATAAACGTGGATTTTTTAAAGAATATTTTTCAAGGACCATCGGGGCTATAAACGTGGATTTTTTAAAGAATATTCTTCAAGGACCATCGGGGCTATAAACGTGGATTTTTTAAAGAATATTTTTCAAGGACCATTAGGGCTGTAGGTGGATTTTTTAAAGAATATTTTTCAAGGACCATTAGGGCTATAGGTGGAAGTATTATCACAGCTATTAACGTAGATTTTTTTATTTTTTTGGAATATTACAAAGTCTTTAACATTTTCTCATAATCAATTTTAATGTTCTCACCTCTACTCTCTCCTTAACTTTCAGGTGTTTGCCTCTTCATTTCGGGTGGCATGAGCTTCGCCCAAAGCTTGGGTTTTTTTCATGTGCCCTTAAGCCCTGCAATAAGTGTTCATACGTTTTACTGCTGGTTTCTGGCCGTTGCTATTGGAGCCCTGCTTTCGATGTTATTGGGCTATGTACTACCCAAGAAGTTTATTATGGTTCGTGTAGGAGTATAACAAAACAAGGACATAGCCCTAACCAAGCGTCTTTCTTATTCTTCTCACATTGTAGGCAGCCTCAGCGATAATGACACTTATTACGGGAATTGTACGTGTCAGTGCCCCAATGGGATATGACGCTCTAATTGCAGCACGTTACCTCAGTGGCATAGCCGTGGGCCTGGCCACAGTTCAATACCTAATGTATGCCAGTGAATTGTCTCGCAATACCAGACGTGGCTTCTCCTTGGGCCTGGAACAGTTTGGCATTAGCGTGGGCCTGGCTCTTCAAATCATAATGATTTCGCAATGGAGTTTATCATCGAGCTTTTCCCAGAATAGCCTCCAGGGGATATTTGATATTATTTTGGCCGTAATCTCCATGGGCTGTCTGTGGTATTTCATTGAATCCCCAGTGGACTATTTGCGTTTGGGTGATGAGTCTACAGCCCTGCTTTGTTTGAGTAAATTACAAGACACCCCCTCCATCACCATGCAGACAAATCAACGTTTGGAGGAACTCAAGGATTATGTGAGGGAGGAAAATAATCTATCAACCGTTGAGATTGTAAAGCGCAGCATGGTACCTCTACTCAAAATGATAATATTTCGCAGTATAATGCTATCGCTCAGCTATTCGGCGATAACTTCAAATGCCCTGACTTACACCATGCTTGTCGTCAATGTCAGCTGGTCACCAATATTGGCCGGTTGTTTGCGTATTTTCGGCAGCGGTGTATCACTGGGCATTGTGGATATACTAGGGCGTAAATTACCCGCCACCGCGTGGGCCCTTGCCATCGGAGGTCTCATCACACCTATTGCTGTTATTTTGAATACATCTTATAACATCTTTATATATCATGAAATGTCGAAAATCGTTGCTCTCTGGGTTACGCTACACGTTGCCGATGGTCTCTTTTCGCCTGTGACATCTGTTTACCTGGGTGAAGCATTCCCCCTACACTCGAAAGGCCTCGGCATAGGGTTTTGTGTAATTGTCGAACAAATTATTCACATCATTTTTATGGCCACCCATCCTGATGATAGTGCTGCGCTCATGGCATCGGGTATTATTATCTTAGTTGCTGCTGTGGTATTTCTTATAATAATGCCCGAAACGAAGAAGACATCACTGCGTGAGGCTCAAGATGGCTTTAGGAAATTTTTTAATTTTAAGATGTTTTGAAAAAATGGCGTGAACCAAATTGTCATGTTAAAAGTTATTTATTGAAGAAAGGTAGTAAGAAAACAAAATACAGGGTGAGAAATAAAATACAAAAAATGTCGGAAATAGCATAAAATTTTAGAATAAGTCTAGATTTGTTCGAATTATGGCCTTCAAACGGCCAATGAAACCGCCACACGCTGCCCGAATGTTGCTCTGCGGTATTTTGGCCCATTCAGGGCGAAGCGCTTGCTTGTGGTGATCGACACTTTGGCATTTGTTAGTACCAACCTTGCTTTCCAAAACAATCCTGACAGAATAGTCCAACGGATTGGTATCCGGAGAATTTGTTATCCATTGTGGCTCCGATATATATTTCCTTAATATAATCCTTATAGTACTATGTCTGCAGGACTTTTGGTATTGACGTTTTGTTGTAGCCACCACATACTGGTACTTTGGTGATTTAAGAGACATTATTCGCCGGAATTGTTTCAAATTTGGTATTTGAAGTTCGTAATGGATACTACAGCCTATGATAGAAAATTGTCTGTGCAGGTCCACGTCTTCGTATAGCCCCCATATAACGGTACCTCCCGATATTTGGTATTTTCATGATTTTAGCGACATTATTCACCGGAATTGTTTCAAATTTGGTATTTGAAGTTCGTAGTGTATACTACAGCCTAAGACCGAAAATTGTCTGTGCAGGTCTACGTACCTCCCGATAATCGCTACTTTGATGATTTTAGCTACATTATTCACCGTATTGTTTTTTTTTTTCAAGTTACGCATTTGAATATTCTAATGGCTTATGACAAAAATTGCCTAAGCAGGTCCACGTCGTCGTATAGACCCTAATATAAGGGCTACATTCGGTATTTTTAAGATTTTAACAGGCATTTGTAACGGATTTTATTTTATTTATTTATTTTTTTTTTTTGAAAATTGCCAAATTCATTCCTATGGGTGGACGGTATTCAAAGATCGACAGGGCCGAAGTTACAGTTTTTTTACTTTTTTTTTTTTTTTTTTTTTTTGACATATTTCCCCATTTGGAATCCAAAATATCATATTACAGCTGTTGCGATTAATTAATGATTTAGAAAAATTGTTCCACAGTGTTAATTTGCAAGTGGATCAGTTTGATAATAATTCACACAATCAAAGTTTCAGATAAGCAGTACTATAGTACTCTATGTCAAGATTAGTAATTCGATAGCCAAAAGGCCGGGGGAATTACATGGTAGCTCTTTGAATTGATTATCGAAAAAGGAGCACCAAAAATTTATCTTTATGTCATAACGCCGTTCTTAGTCACACTATTATATATAGAAAATGTTTAGTAGATAGACTCAGAATACTTTATTGTTATTATTGATTTTTTATATTTTTTTTTTTTTTTTTTTTTTTTGCAAATTTTTGATTCACAAGTGAATAAACAAATTTGATTTGTTACCCCCACCTGAAGTTGTTAAACACCATATCAAAGATGGCTGTAAATGTATGTTTTAGCAAAACTTTATCTCGAAATTTGGGTGAAATTTGCTTTATCGCCGTCTCTTTTTTTTTTTTTTTTTTTGATTAGCCACACGTTCTGTGGTGCTAAAAATCTTATCATCATTGTTAAATCATCAATATTTGGACACCCAAAAAGCATTTGTTTTGTTTTTTCTCAGTCACCATCAAACGGTTGATGGCATTAGTCGCAATATCTATTAAATAGACGAAGAAAACTTTGCTGGATTTTCCTTAAGAAATTATTAAAGAAAAAATTAACATGCAAGCAACCACAACATCGACAACAAATCCCACCAACTCAGGGCGACCGCCACCTCTTACCATGAAAAATTTTCAACCTGGCTATATGGCAACCCTTGGCGCCGGTGAGCTAATAATTGATATTTTCAGTAACAAATGATATTAGCATTTTTATAACCATAATTAAAAACGACCTCAAACGGAGAGAGAGAGAGAGTGAGCCATCGTGATGCACCGGCAGTGTGCACCATATAATTGTACCTCCCTACCACTACGGTGGTGTAGTGCGAGAAGAAAAAGTGTGTCGAAAATGTTGCTAATTATGGAATATAAGTGATTGTATTGTGACAATACAAAACAAGTTCAAAAGCACTAAGTTCGGCCGGGCCGTTCACCATTTGGAATAAATTTGGAAATTTTCAAAAAATAAACTCCTTAAAAAATTCTGTTAAAATTTTAAAAATACCGAATATAGCAGTTATATTGGGGTCTATACGACGTGGACCTACATATGCATTGTTTGTCATAAGCAATTACCATATTCAAATTCGAAACTTGAAATAAACCGTGAATAATGTAGCTAAAATCATCAAAATATCGAATATAGGGAGGTACCGTTATATCGGAGCTGTGCGAAAACCTGAACCAGCATAGACAATTTTCTGTCACAGGCTATAGCATCTAATACGAACGTCAAATACGACATCTCAAACAATTTCGGTGGGTATTACATACGATGGGTGGGTGGGAAGACCTGGACCTTCATAGACAATTTTCTGTCACAGACTGTAGTTCCCATTACGAACTCTAAATACGTAATTTGAAACAATTCCGGTGAATAATGACGCTAAAATCATCAAAATACCGAATTTTGGGAGGTACCGTTATATGGGTGCTATACGAAGACGTGGACGTGCATAGACAATTTTCTGTCATAGGCTGTAGTATCCATTTCGAACTTCAAATACCAAATTTGAAACAATTCCGGTGAACAATGTCGCTAAATTCATCAAAATACCGAATATCGGGAGGTACCGTTATATGGTGGGTATACGAAGACGTGGACCTGCACAAACAATTTTCTGTCCACACATGTGAAAGTTTTAGAATTTTACGCTGATCAAGAATATATGTAGTTTGTTGGGTCTGACATGAGTATTTCGAGGAGTTACAAACGGAATGACAAAGTTAATATACCCTCCATAGTATGGTGGAGGGTATAAAAAAGTTTCAAAGATTATAAATGAAACATTTCACATAAGAATAATAGTATGGCAGCCCTTAAACAAAAAATGAGTAAAAAAGCTGTAAGTTCGGCCGGGCCGATCTTTGAAGGCCCTCCACCAATTGGAACGATTTTGGAAATTTTCAAAAAAAAAAATAAATCCGTTAAAAATCCTGTTAAAATCTTAAAAATACCAAATATAGCAATTACATAAGGATCCATACGACGACATGGACCTGCATAGGCTACTTTTTATATAGTACTTTTATATAGTATAGGCAACTTTTATAGGGTATACAAATATATAGTACCTTTTCCTACGAATTTTCAAGAATCGCGACTTATCTCATTCCTATTCTCCAACACATTTCAGAATTTTATTATTGTTGATTATAATCAAATCCTTTTTTATTTTTCTCCTTCCCTTTTTCCTAATTTCAGGTGTTTGCCTTTTTGTTTCGGGTGGCATGAGTTTTGGCCAAAGTTTAGGCTGGTTTTTTGTGTATTTCAATAGTCCATTCACTTTGCATTTGTTCTACAGCTGGTTTATTGCTGTAGCCATTGGAGCCGTGCTTTCGGTGTTATTGGGCTATGTACTGCCCAAGAAATTTATTATGGTTCGTATTGTGGTCCCTCGTTCCAGGCAAAAATCCATAGCAATTTTAATCATTTTTTCCATTCAATTTCAGGCTGTTTCGGCGATATTGATTCTAGTCGGTGGAATTACCCGAGTCAGTGTCCCAACGAACTATAGTGTTCTAATTGTGGCACGTTATTTTAATGGCATTGGACTGGGTATGGCCACTGTTCAGTATCTAATGTATGCCAGTGAATTGTCTCGCAATACCAGACGTGGTTTCTCCTTGGGCCTCGAACAGTTTTGCATCAGTCTGGGCCTGGCCCTGCAAATGATAATGACTTCGCAGTGGAGTTTATCATCGAGCTTTTCCCAGAATAGTCTCCAGGGGATATTTGATATTATTTTGGCCGCAGTATCCATGGGCTGTCTGTGGTATTTCATTGAATCCCCAGTAGACTATGTACGTTTGGGTGATGATGCTGCTGCCCTGGATTGTTTGAGTAAGTTGCAAGACACACCCGCCATTACCATGCAGACCAATCAACGCCTGGAGGAACTCAAGGATTATGTGAGAGAAGAAAACAGTTTGTCCAGCTCCGAAGTCGTACTGCGCAGCCTAGTACCATTGCTTAAAATGTTGGCATTTCGCAGTATGATAATGTCGCTCAGCTATTCGCCGGTCATTACCAATGCCCTGACATACACGATGTTTGTCTTGGATGTCAGCTGGACACCAATATTGGCCGGTTCTTTGCGCATTTTCGGCAGCGGCATATCCATGGCCATTGTTGATATAGCCGGTCGCAAATTACCCGCCATTGCTTGGGCCCTTGCCATCGGTGGTCTCATCGTACCAATTGCTGTTATTCTGGATTATTTCTATAGCATTTATGACAGTCATAGAATGTTCAAAGTCGCTGCCTTTTGGATTGCAATCCATGTTGCGGATGGTCTCTATGCGCCCGTAACCTCGGTCTACTTGGGCGAAGCATTTCCTCTCCATTCGAAAGGCATTTGCATAGCCTTGTGTGTTGTTGTCGAACAAATCATACAAATCGTTATTTTCGTAACCCATCCCAAGGATGAAGTCGTTATAATGGCCTCGGGTATTATAATCCTAGTCGCGGCAGCAGTATTTCTGATAACAATGCCCGAAACGAAGAAGACATCGCTGAGGGAGGCTCAAGCAGGTTTTAGAAAATTCTTTAATTTTAAGATGTTTTAAGCAAAACGATAATGGAAAAAACTACAAAGAGAATGTTTTCGGAAAATCAAAAAAAAATAAATTATTGAAAAAAAAAAGTTCGTAGTATGGTCGTTCCTGAAACATTCCTCAATTCACAATTGTAGCTGCAATGTTCCTTAAAAAACAGGATTAAAAATACGCAAATAAAGCTGAGATGGGCAGAATATATATTTAAAAAATGTCTGGTTGCAACTGAAACTCTTGGAAAAATTTTAATAAAAAACCGAAATTATACCTGTGATGAGCTATAGATGATTTCATTTAAAAATCCGAGATCAAAAATGTTTTGGTCCTTGACAAATACAAATAAAAAAATAAGAAAAAAAACAAGTAAACAAGCAGTAAGTTCGGCCGGGCCGAACCTCAACCATTTAGAACGAATTTGAAAATTTTCGAAAAAGATAACATTCGCCAAAAATTCTGTTAACCGTAACGAATATAGCGAATATAGAATATATTAGGGCCTGTACGACGTGCACCTACATAGACACTATGGTAATGGCTTGTTACCACATTCAAATTCGAAATTTGAATTAAGAGGTGAATAATGTAGCCAAAATCATCAAAATACCGTACATAGGGAGGTACCGTTATATAGGAGCTATACGAAGACCTGGACCTGCATAGACAATTTTCTGTCACAGGCTGTAGCATCTATTAGGAACTTCAAATACGACATCTCAAACAATTTCGGTGAGTATTGTACCTAAAATCGTAAAAATACCGAATATAAGGAGGTACTGATATATGGGGCCTATACGAAGACCTGGACCTACATAGGCAATTTTCTGTCACGGACTGTAGTTCCCATTACGAACTCTAAAAACGTAATTTGAAACTACCACGGTGAATAATGACGCTAAAATCATCAAAATACCGAATATTGGGAGGTACCGTTATATGGGGGCTATATGAAAACGTGGACCTACATGGCCCATTTACGAACTGCCTACTGGCAAAATAGACATGTGTGCAAAATTTTAGCCTTAGTTTTTACATATTTTTTTTAAATTTTATAGCATGAAAGCAAAAAATGTCGGAAATAGCATCAAATTATAGAATAAGTTTAGATTTGTTCGAATTAGTCACCTTTGGTACGAATTGCGGCCCGAATGTGCTCTGTGGTATTTTGCCCATTTGCCGGCGAAGCGCTTGCTTGAGGTGATCGACACTTTGGTATTTTTTAGTGCCAACCTTGCTTTCCAAAATACTCCAAAAACAATAGTCCAACGGATTGTTATCCAGAGATTTTGGTGGCCATTGTGCGCTGGAAATGAAGCGGGGAACCTCATTTTGGAACCATTATTGGGTGGCGCGTACTGAGTGCGGTGGCGGTGCTGAGTCCTGTTGGAATGTCCAAGTTCTGCGGCCAAAATGTTCGCGTGCTTAAGGCTTTAATACACCCTCCAGAATATGTTCGCGATAATATTCGGCATTTATTTCAATATTCGGCAACGGTCGATTAATACGAGCGGAGAGCGGCCATCGGCTGTTGTGGCGGCCCACACCATCACCATGGCCGGCGCTTGACTTCTGATGCACATTTTCAACTGACCTCTTTGGCAAGTAAACACGATCATTTTGTTTGTTTACAAACTGCTGGACAACGAATGTTTTCTCATTGGAGATAACCAAATTCGACAGTACACCACTTTCGGCCAAGCGAAGCAACTCTTTAGCTCTATTGAGTCTATTTTCTTTATGTTGCGGTGCAAGTTCTTGCACTTTATGGAATTTCAATGGCTTTACCCCGAGCTCATTTTTCAATATTTGCCAAATGGAATATTGCGTTATGTTCAGCTCACAAGCCATTTTCCGGCCACAGCGACGCGGGTATCGACCAAGTCGCTTCTTTACTTTTCGAACCATTTCTGCTGATGTTGCTGTTTTCTTTCGTCCACTTCCTTGACGTCGGGCTACGCTACCAGTATCACGGTAACGAGACACAAAAGATTTATTCACATTTAAATGCTGGAGTGCTCTAACGATAGCCATTGTAGTTTTCCAGCCAAATATAATTTTATCGCACTATCACGCTTAAATTCCATCACAAATAACTTTTTTTCTGGAAAATTCTCACCAAAATGCCTTTGTTCGCTTGTAAACAATATAATGAGCTGTCACTGGAATAATTTTAACTGCTGTCAAAGGAGTGGCTTAGAAATCATAGCAATCACATAAAAAATCTGAATATTTAAAAATATTTTAAAAAATATCATAAAAATCAAAATTTTGTTCTTGAAAACTCCTCAAGCTGTACTAGCCCATTATCGTTGAAAATAGACCTTGAATAAATATTCTTAAATAATCCACAAGTAAAAATATCCAAATATGAAAAAATATTAAAAAAGCCTAGGATGATCTTTAAATTAATGCGTTTAAAAAGTCCACAATTGTAACTGTCATGGTTCAAGTGTCTATTGTTTTTTTTTAACTTCACGATTATAGTTGAGATTTTCTTGTGGAAAATATTCTTGAAATATGAGACCTATCGATTGCCAAACAAAATGTCTAATGGGTATTCCCAAGACGTCGAGTTATTACTTCTAGCCATTTAAACTAATACATAGGAAGGCCATGTACACAATATGAAATAGTTACCTATATAAAAAAAGATTGTTTATAAATAATATATTTTATCTTTAGGTTCTTTTATGACCACAATCACCAGCACCACAACCTAAGAAGGGGGCGGCGGCGGTGGCGGTAATCTTATCAGCCCCAGCACAATATTGCAATAGACAAAGCAATTCGCAAGAGATAGCATCAGTCTTGAGAAAAGCGTGCAAACAGTTAGTCGGAATATATTAAAATATTTTATTTCATACCAAAATAAACCTTGGTTTTATTTTTATTTTCAAATTGTGTATGGAAATTCGATAACCTGCCTGCAAGTAACAATATGCAAAAATCCACACCAAATATACAACCCACCGGTAGCAATTCATTACCGCCACCAACTGTGGCCAATTTTAATCCGAAACAATTGAGTTGTCTGACCACAGGTGAGGAATGCAGAAAAAAATCAAAGAATGTCTATCTTAGAAGACCTATATATCAGAATCGTGGAGAGATTTTTCAAATATATATTCCGGGAAATATCAGTGCTAAAACCTTAAGGTTTCGACGAGAACTATGACCGTCGATTTTTTAAAAATATATGTCAGAGAGCTATTCCTACCGGAATTGTGTATTTTTAAACTTGTCTCCCAGGACTCTCAGTGGCATAACCTGGGTTTTTTCCAAGGTCGTAAATGCCATAGTCATGAAGTTTTTCAACAAATTCTTCCGATTCTTCCACCATGTATATTATGGAGAGTACAATAAGTTGGTCATTCCGTTTGTAACGCATCGAAATAATAATTTTAGACCTAACAAAGTATATATATACTTGATCAGCGTAATCACACTATAGTCAAAACGATAGGAAGCTAAAATGTTGCACAAATCAGTCTTTTGTCTGCAGGCAGGTCAAGTTCGAAGATGGGCTACATCGGTTCGAAAATGGGCTACGGTATTAATGAATGTGGCCAAATTTGTCAATGTAATTGTCTGAAAATTAACAAAAGGAGTTCCTTCTAAGTACTTTACCCCCTGGAAGAGAATTGTCTATATCGCATCACGATATCGTCTATTCACCATACAACGTTACCTCCCAATATTTTGAAACACTGACAAGTTTAGCGACATGTTTCAAAATTCGTATTTAAAATTCCTAATGGGTACTTCAACTTATAATGGCACCTCTTTTTATTCGGTATTTTGATGATATTGGCTACATTATTCACCGGAATTGTGTACCCTACAACACTATGTGTTGGGGTATGATAAGTTCGATTGGGCCAAAAATTATGTAACACCTCGAAATATTGGTTACCACATAGGAAATTATATATGGATCTTGGATGGATCTGAGTCGATCTAGCTATATGACCGTCTGTCTATGTTAGTTTGTAAACACTCTACAATTATCGCAATTATGGCCCGATCTTCACGAAATTTAAAATGGAGGTGAGGTTAAGGTCAGAATAGAACCCTTTTGCTTTTGGAGATGATCGCATAATATTTAGGGGTTGAAATGGACCAAAAACTGAAAAATTTCCTGATTTTGCAGTTGCTCTACAGGTCACAATTATAGACCAATCGACGCGGAAGTTAGCATGGGGCTAGAGCTTAGACCTGGGCGGAATCCTTGCAATTTTGATGGTCATCGTGTTATAATATTTAATATTAAATAAAAGTCAAATTCCCCATTAAACCGCGAATATTTCTAATCCCGGCGATTTTGAGAATTCCAATTTATTCCAAAATTGATGTGGACATAAGGACATCACATGGTCGGTCCCGCACGACTATAGCCTTTGCTTACTTGTTTTGTATTTAAGGTTCGTAATGGGTACTACAACCTATGACAAAAATTGCGTATGCAGGTCCACGTCTAGCGCCCATATAACAATTTTCCTTTGAGCGGTACTTTTCGACGGATTTTTTTGACATTTTTCAAGTTCCTTCGAAATGGTGAAGGGCATTAAAAGTTCGTTTCGGCCGAATTTAGCTGTTTTTTTTTCTTTTTCTAAATATTTTTATTCAAGGACTATCAGTATTATATCCATGGACTTTTTTCGAGAACAATAACTGCTAGAGTCGGGGATTTTTTACATTTATTTTTTCATGTGAAATTTTATAAATATGTTTCCCGAGGATTATTTTTAAAAAAGGTTTTTGAAGGAATATCGGAGTAATAATCGTGGATGGTTTTAGCATATTTTTACTAGGACTATCCGAGTTATAACCTAGGATTTTTTCCAGGACAAGCAATGGTGTAGTCGGGGATTTTTAAAAATATTTTCCCAAGAACTGTCAGAGCTTTCGTCAGCTTCTTTTCGAAGACTATCAGTGCTGTAGTCGAAGATTTTTTACAAATATATTTTTGAAGGATTATCTGCGCTATGCTAATATATATTTTCAGGAACTGTCAGTGCCATAGTCGTGGACTTTAAAATATATTCTTTCAAGAGCTGTCAGATATTACGACATAGATATTTTTCCGAGAGCCATCAGTGCAAGATTTTTTCAAGAGTCCAAGATTTTTTACACATATTTTTTTATAAACAATCAGGGCTGGGATAGAAGATTTAACATTTTTTTTCCAGGGACAATCTGTAATGTCGCGAAATATTTACCGGAAATATTAAAGTCTTAAATTTTTAAAAAACATTTTCCCGGAAGTTTTGCTTTTTGGGGTCCATATTTTTTTTTTTAATAATTTTCCGAGGGCAATCTTTGGATATTGAAGGATTATCGGTGACTGGCTCGTGGATTTTCATACCCTCAGTAAAAGGGCTATATATCATTTTATACGGTCAAAACGAAATAACGGTTATATACTTTGAGTGTCTTTGGGCCAAATCCCTCTCAGGGCATTTAGAGTCGATCTAAGGGTGTCCGTCCGTTTGTCTGTCTCACTGACTGGTGCGCACGATAAACCTCAAAGGAAGTATACAATTTCGTCCAATCTTGGTACATCGTAATATTATAGTGAAAATTAGATCGAGTTCGAGGACGGGTAAATTCGGTCAACACTTTCTTATACTTCCCCCACAAAATGGTCAAAATTTTCATTGAAAATAATTTACCTCACGACACGAAAGGAACATCCAATTCAAATCTTTCAAATCCTAATATTTGTATCTGTGCTATATTGGAAGCGAAAATGGGCACTCCTTCTGGTACCTACCCCACAAAGGGCCTAATTTTGACCAATAGTAACCTTCATAGATAGCATAATAAGCATCCGATTCTCTTCAAATTTCACGCATCCCGATATTTCTACTAAAACAAGATCTGTTGTGAAGATGGAATATTTCGGACCACTCAGGTCAAATTTTTACAGAAATCCAGCATAGTATGAAAGTAGAGCTGAAAAAGAAGTCACGTGTGTCGGCGTCTGAAAATTCACATGGCAAAGTAACCTAAATAGAGGGATAATTTTATCAAGTTTTTATCACTCTTTATAGTAACTAAATAGTGCAAGTTTAGAAATTTTTGTATTTTGAATTTCCGAAAAGCCTTTGATATTCTGCAATCCATCAATACCTTTCATTCCATCAGTGCCTTTCATTCCAAATTTTCAAGTTTCAGGATTTCAACTCTATTGGTTCTCTCAAAATTTAAATTGTACTAGATTTTGTACCATTTAGTACTTTCGCGCTCAAAAGTACAAATATCGAAAACTTCCTCCACGTCCCAATTCTATACTTCGCCTGTAATGTTAATTTCAAATTTCAGGATTCCAGCTCCAATCGTTCCTCCAAATTCAAATTGTACTAAATTTAGTACCGTATGGAAATTTTCGAATACATGAACAGTTGGAAATTTTTCAGACCAACTGGCAATACCGTTCTCTTTACCGGTCGCGCTAAAAGTGACATGTGTGCTTACCAATTTTTAACTTGAAACCCTTTTAACTTCTTCCCTCTTTCCATTTCAGGTGTTTTCATTTTCCTTTCGGCTGGCATGAGCCTGGCCCAAAGTGTTGGTTGGTCAGATATTGCAACCGATCTGCATTTCTATTACAGCTGGTTTATTGGAGTGGCCCTGGGAGCTTTGGTGTCCATCTTACTTGGATATGTGCTGCCCAAGAAATTTATTATGGTAAGAAGGCAACTCTCTTAAAGAGACTTTCGAATAATTAAATAATTTCCAATTTCTTATAGGCTGCCTCATCGGTCCTTATCCTAGCTGGTGGCATAATTTTCACTAGTGCCCCCCGCAATGTTGATGCCTTGGTGGCGGGACGTTATCTCAACGGCATGGCTGTGGGTTTGGCCACAACACCATATCTCATACATGCCAGTGAGTTATCCCGCAATCGTATACGTGGTCTATGTCTGGGTTTGGAACAATTCGCCATAAGTCTGGGTATTGCCATCCAGATGATTTCCACCTCCCAGTGGGATGCAATGTCGAGCTTTTCGGTTAACTGTCTACATGGAATATTGGATATAATTCTGGCTATATTGGCAGCGGGTTCTCTTGTGTATTTCATTGAATCACCAGTGGATTATATACGCTTGGGTAGTGACACCGCCGCCTTGGAATGCATAAGTCAATTGCAAAAAACGCCCAGCATAACCTTGGAAACTAATCGGCGTTTGGAAGAACTACGACACTATGTTCAAGAACAGGAATATCTGACACCAAGGGAATTGCTGCTGCATAGTCTGATACCACTTTTCAAAATGATATTCTTTCGCAGTATGCTGCTGGCCTTCGCCTACTCGGCCATTTTGACCAAACTCCTAACCTATTCCAATGTGATAATTGGAATTTCCTGGACTCCCATTTTGGCTGGATGTTTGCGAATAATTGGCAGTGGCATGGCATTGGTGATTATGGACAATTTGGGCCGCAAAATACCATCCTGTGTTTGGACCTTAACTATGGGAGGCCTCATGATTCCCATGGCCGTCATTGTGAATCATTCAATGAATTTGTTAAATACTCATAAAATCTCAACCGTCGTGTCGCTTTGGATGTGCCTGCAATTTTTCGCCGGCCTCTATTCGCCCATCTCCTCTGTCTATATGGGTGAAGCTTTTCCGCTACGCACCAAATCATTTTGCATGGCTGTCTGTGTTATTGTAGAACAAATTGTACAAATTGTTATTGTAAGCCAGGTCTCAATAGGCAACGACGGCAGTCTAATGGCAATGGGTATAATGATTCTGCTCACAGCTGTGGGTTTCTTTGTGACGATGCCCGAAACAAAGAGAACTCCTTTGGCCGAAGCTCAACGACGATTTTCGAATTTATTTAATTTTAAATTGTTTTAGAAAAATTATGAATTGTTAATAATTTGTTTTGTCCTCTAAGACTTGTGTATATTTAACGGTATCTCGAAGTAATAAATCAATATATTTATCAGTGGTTATGTGTTAATTTAGGACGAAATCCGCCAACGGGTGGGACAAAAAGTGATTCAGAATCCTCCACCATAGTATGGAGGGTATATTAAGTTTGTCATTCCATTAGAATATATACGAATAAACAATTTTAAAACCCACGAAGTATACACATACTTGACCGACATACAATTCTATGTCGATTTAGCCATGTCCGTCCGTCTATCTCTCCCTCTGAGGAAATCACTCTAGCTTCCGAGCGAAATGAAATTAGTTTATAAACTTTTATTCTGATGTATTAAAGGTCTATAAAATTGTTGGTGTTGAAAATGGACCATATGAGTCCTCGTTCTGGTATAGAACTGTACCGGCAGATTTAAAGTGCTTTCAGTGTTTTAGTTACAATTTGAAGCTGATTTTTCTGTAAAAAGACATATTGTGTATTCATGTATGTTGCAAACATCCCCGCATCATACATCTCCACTCCTTCGTATAGCAGCCACTACAGTGTACTTAAAGATATTCGGCATATTTATACCCTCCACCTTGAAAAGAAGGGGATTATTAACTTTCTCATTCCATTTGTAACATCCCTAAATATTCGTCGTATATTCCATAAAGTATAAACAGGGTGAGATAAAAAAAAACTGCAACAAAGTCAAACGCCATAATTTTTACATTTTTTTTAATTCAATTTTAGAATAATTGTTCGAATTGGACACATTTCGACGAATTATGACCTTCAAACGGCCAATGAAACCGTCACACGCTACCCGAATGTTGCTCTGCGTTATTTTGGTCCATTTCCGGCGAGGCACTTGCTTGAGGTGATCGATTTTTAGTGCCAACCTTTCTTTTCAAAACACTCCAGACATAATAGTCCAACGGATTGGTATCCGGAGCTTTTGGTGGCCTTTGTGTGCTGGAAATGAAGCGAGGAACCTCATTTGGGTGACGCGCGCTGAGTGCGATGGCACGGAGTCCTGTCGGAAAGTCCAAGGTCTGTGGCCAAAATGTTTGCGTGCCCAAGGCTTTAATACGCCGTCCAGAATATTCTCGCGATAACATTCGGCATTTATTCTGATGCCACGGTCCACGGCGACCATCGGATGTTATGGCGACCGTCACCATGATCAGCGCTTAGGTTCTGCTGACCGAAGGTGCACATTTTAAGCTGACCTCTTTGGCAAGTAAACACGATAATTTTGTTTGTTTACAAACTGCTGGACAACGAATGTTTTCTCATCGGAAACAGAGAAAACCAAATTTGGCAGTTCACCACTTTCAGCGAAGCAAAGCAACTCTTTAGCTCTTTTGAATATATTTTCTTTCAGTTGAGGTGTAAGTTCTTGCACTTTTTGGAATTTCAATGGCTTTACCCCTGTTTCAATGGCTTTCAATATTTGCCGAATGGAATATTGCGTTATGTTCAGGTCACGATCCATTTTTCAGTCACTGCGACGCCGGTTTCGATCAAGTCGCTTCTTTACTTTTCGAACCATTTCTGCTGATGTTGTTCTTCCGTCCACTTCCTTGACGTTGGGCTACGCTACTACGAGACACAAGAGATTGATTCACATTTAAATGCTGGAGTGCTCTAACGATAGCTATTGTGGTTTTCCAGCCAAATATAAATAAATCCCGAATAATTCGCGAATAACTTCTTTTCTGGAAAATTCTCGCCAAAATGCTTTTGTACGCTTGTAAGCAATACAATGAGCTGTCACTGGAATAATTTTAACAGCTGTCGGACGAGTGGCTTAGAAATTACAGCAGTTTGAATTTGGTTACAGTTTTTTCATCTCACCCTTTATATCCTTAATCCGATTATAAGTTTATTGTGCAAATAATGGCTAATATCAGCCCAAATGGAATTTCGGGACGTACGTTTCCATTTGCTGGACCTTGGCTCCGATATATTTTATACCCTACACCACAAGGTGGTCAGGGTATTATGTCTTTGTAACATGGACAAGGAAGCGAGATAGACCCATAGTTACTTTTGAGGATCTTCATAGAATCACATTCTGAGTCGATTTATGTATGTCCGTCCGTCCGTCTGTCCATGTATTTCTGTAAACAAAGTACAGATCGCATTTATCGCCCTATCCAGATGAAATTTTGCACAAATCATTTGTTTGGCCCAAGGACGAACCCTATTGAAATTGGAGATAATCGGTCAAAATTTAGATATAGCTCCCATATATATCTTTGTCCGATTTGCCTTTTATTGTGCACCAAACATGTAATATCAGTCCGAATAGTATGGAATTTTCAAGTACGATCAGATTGGACCTGAAAATAAGTATAACAAATTTGATCGAAATCGGTTCAGATATAGCTATAGCTCCCATATATATTGTTCATCCGATTTGTTATTTTTGTCCTCCGCAGCCGTAATATGCACTCTGTAACAACAATATCTGGGGAAACATATCAAATACAGCTCAGAAATACATTTGCTAAATTGTATCGAGATCGGTTCAGATTTGGATATAGCTCCCATATATAACTTCGTTCGATTTACCTTGGATTGTGCACCAAACGTCTAACATTTGCCCAAATTGGATGAAATTTGGCACTTACGACCGAATTGAGTCTAGAAGCTAGTATGTCAAATTTGGTGAAGATCGGTTGAGATATAGCTATAGCTCCCATATATACAGTTCATCCGATTTGTAATATTTGTTACCCACAGCCGTAATATGCACTCCGTAAAAACGATATTCAGGGAAATATATCAAATACAGCTCAGAAATATCTTTGCCAAATTTTATCGAGATCGGTTCTGATTTGAACATAGCTTCCATATATATCAAATGGGCACTTTAAATTATAATTATAATCATAGCGTGTACGATTGAATTTTCCCATAAAAACTTTAAAGTGGTGGTGTAGGGTATAATAAAGTCGGCCCGCCCGACTTTAAGACTTTTTTACTGGTTCTAATATAATCCTTCTCGAAGTGATATCATGCACTCTACAGCAATGTTATTTTGTAAAAAAGATAAACATGTTCTCGTGAAATTTACTGAAAATCGATTCAGACTTGGATATGCCTCCCATATCCCTCTGAAACCAAATTATAACTGCTCTAAATACATATCTTGATAGGTGGTCTATGATCTACTTCAAATAAATTATTTTGTTACGGGTGCTCTATTAACTATGCATAGTGGTGTAGGGTATCATGTAGCTGGCCCGCCTTCCTTTCGACTCTTCCTTCCTGGTTTTATCTGTATTAGATGAATTGTGAAAATCGAAAAGTTCGGACTATATCTGGTAACTTACGTACATTTTAATATTTTCTAAAAATTATCACAGATCTCTGTAAAGGAATATAGTCCAAGCCAAGCATGTCGCAATATATATCTTATTAATTTAGGGCCGATACGAAATGGCCCATTCCTTCGATACCTAAACTCCATAGAGGGTCAACAGTTTGAATAATCATAACAGAAGTCAAAATATATTTAAATAATCGAACATTGGCTGGAGGTATACATCTGTCGGCAAAACCGACTGATACATTATAACATGTTCTACTCTCAGAAGTGTTGCCGCTCAACTTCGAGCGATTTTTATACTCTCCACCATACTATGGAGGGTATATTAATTTTGTCATTCCGTTTGTAACTCATCGAAATACTCATGTCAGACCCAACAAAGTATATATATTCTTGATCAGCGTAAAATTCTAAGACGGTTTAGCCATGTCCGTCTGCCTGTCTGTGTGTCTGTCTGTCCGTCTGTCTGTTGTAATCACGCTATCTTTCGAACAAATTGAGATAGAAGACTAAAATTTTGCACATATGTATATTTTGCCAGTAGGCAGGTTAAGTTCGTAAATGGGCCATGTAGGTCCAAGTTATCATTTAGCCCCCATATAACAGTACCTCCCGATATTCGGTATTTTGATGATTTTAGCGACATTATTCACCGGAATTGTTTCCAATTTGGCATTTGAAGTTCGTAATTGATACTACAACCTAAGACAAAAAATTATCTGTACAGGTCCACGTCTTCGTATAGCCCCCATATAACGGTACCCCCCGATATTCGGTATTTAGATGATTTTAACGACATTATTTACCGGAATCGTTTCAAATTTGGTATTTGAAGTTCGAAATGGATGCTACATCCTAAGTCAAATCAAAATGAGCCATGTAGGTCTACGTCTTCATATAGCCCCGATATAACGGTACCCCCCATATTCGGTATTTTGATGATTTTAGCGACATTATTTAACGGAATCGTTCCAAATTTGGTATTTGAAGTTCGTAATAGATACGGCAGCATTAAACAGGAAATGGGCCATGCAGGTCCACGTCTTCGTATAGCCCCCATATAACGGTACCCCCTATATTCGGTATTTTGATGATTTTAGCTACATTATAAACAGATTTTTCTTCAAGTTTCGCATTTAAATATTGCAATAACTTATGCAAAAGTTGCCTATGCAGGTCTACGCCGTCGTATAGGCATTCGGTAATTTTAAGATTTTAACAGAATTTTAAACGGATTTTATTTATTTATTTATTTATTTATTTTTTTTTTTTTTTTGTACCCAATGGTGGAGGGAATTAAAAGTTCGGCCCGGCCGAACTTACAGCTTTTTTACTTGTTATTCTTTACTTTACTTGTTATTCTTTATTCGAATTCGAGTGAGTTTCGAGCGGAGGTCTGATGTATAGTTCCGTTAGTTTTTGTTTTTATTTTAATTCTGGAAGTCAAAAGTTTATCAATAATTTAAAATTCGTTTTTCTCGAAACGGAATTTTTTGAGATGCGTCAGTCTTTGGGTAAATGAACGATAAACAGACACTCGCTGTGTTACTGTTATTCTCTTGACAGTCCGCTCAACCATTTAATTGTATTAGTGGGTGCTATGATTCATTTTCAGGTTAATTTTGTATGTGGATGAATGAAATTCTAGTCAAAACATTACGAAGTTACGGCTGCCCCCTAATGGAGTCAAGACAAATCCGCAACAATTTTTTTTATTTTGGTTTCGCTATCAGAAACGCGTAATGCGTCATCTTTTCAAGGAATGATATGCAAGGTATGGCACACTCACACACACACAAAATGTTATCAGAAAACTTTCAATATCACTGATAGATATGGAAAAAGAAATACTCATAATACAGTGGGTTGGAGGTGCTGTAGGAAAAGAAAGTGAGATAGCTATTTTGACAAAATCTTATCTCTGCCATGGGACAAGAATATAATAAGAGTTTGTTGTGTTCGAACAGGGACTAATAAATTTATACAACGGATACAATAAGACCCAAAGACAAACCTTTCCTGCTGATGGCACTTTTGTGTCGGCTACTATTTTATGGGCGGGCTCGACCATCCCCATTACGTTCAACCTGATCCCCTCGGCAAGAGTCCAAAAATACCTATGTAAGAAACATATTTCAATATTACCACCTCACATTTCTTCAGATACTGTGAGGTATAGCTGTTGCCGATAAGCAACCAGCGAACTGTCTTTCATAAAAACACGTTATCACAACGTTCCGATAATCGTCAAAAATGAATTATTACCAGCCAAAAAAAAAAAAAAAAACGAAAACAAATCAAAGAAAAAATTGTTTTTTGTTGATAGAACTTTTCAGTCTTATGAAAACATTGAATGTAATTGGTGGTAATAGACGACAAACGAAAAGTAAATTTGAACAACTAACACCTCGAACATTTAGATTAAGCACCGCCACCAATGAATCCCGCGATTCCCGTTGTTGTTACCGATGACTCGAATAAATCTCAATACGGCAAATATGGATACTGGTGCTGTAATTCCGTTGTGCCGATAACAACACTGCCAGGTATGTATGCAGCGAATGTTACCACAAAAAAAAAAAAAAAAACTGATGAAAATCGTAGGTCGGGAAAAATACATTAGATTTTTGAGCAAAAAGAAAAAAACAAGTTAAAAAGTAGTAGATGCCGGCAGATGTATACCCTCAGCTAAGGTTCGATTATATAAATATGTTTCGACTTCTGTTATGATTATTCAAAATGTTGACCATCTATGGATTAGATACCGAAGGAATTAAGTAATTAAATATTATATAAATTTTGTGACGTGCCAGGTCTGGGATATAATGGATACTTTTTTCACTTTATATGATATATGTGATAATTTTCAGAATCACATATAGTCGGGTATCACATATAGTCGGGCAAATTTAAAAGAAAATCGAACATTTATATCAAATTTTATGCGATTTCTGGTTGAGCGAAATATTTAGATACAGCAAGTTATAAAGAATCGCTGACTTGTTTTGAAAGTGATTACAGATACAAGCACTTGAAAATTTTGGCCCTTTGTGGGCGCGGTATCAGAAGGGGCTCGCAGATATATATTATCTTCACAACAGATCTAATGTTAGCAAAAATGTTTGTGTATCTGAAATTTGAAGAGACTTGGATGCTTATTTCGTTTTCTTTGAGAATTTTTATACTCTCCACCGTACATAATATGGAGGGTATAAAAAGTTCGTCATTCCGTTTGTAGCTCATCAAAATAATAATTTTAGACAAAACAAAGTATATATATTCTTGATCAGCGTAAAATTCTAAGACGATTTAGACCTGTCGGTATGTCCGTCTGCTGTAATCACGCTACAGTTAAAACGAATTAAGATAGGAAGCTAAAATTTTCCACAGATCTATCTTTTGTCTGCAGGCAGGTCCACGATATCGTATAGCCCCCATATAACGGTACCCCCGGTATTTGGATGATTTTATCCACAGTTTTTAATCGAATTGTCTGAAATTCTACACAAGGAGTTCTTTGTGACTACTATATCCCCCATATTACAGTACCCCCCAATATTTGGTATTTGGATGATTTTAGCAACATTTTTCAACGGAATTGTTTGAAAATTCACACAAGGAGTTCCTTGTGAGTACTTTATCCACTTGAAGAGAATTATCCATATAGGTCCAAGATATTGTATAGCCGCTGAATAACGGGACCCCCTATATTCGGTTTTTAAGCCACATTTTTTAATGGAATTGTCTGAAAATCCACACAAGGAGCTCCACTACTTTATCCTTAGGAAGATAATTATCTATATAGGTCCACGATATCGTATAGCCCCCATATAATGGTTTTCATTTGAGCGGTATTTTCCGACGAAATTTATTTTTTGAATTCTTTCAAGATCATATCAGATGTTGTGTAAATAGAAAAATTGAGATGTGCCAAGTCTGAATGGAATCGGATGTTAATTTCGCGTTTTATGAGCTTCATGGGTATTCCAAATTCTGATCCTTTGTGAGGGAGGTATAAGAAAGAGTTGACCGATATATCCCATCTTCACAGCAAATCTTGTTTTGGTAGAAATAATAGGATGTGTGAAAAATGAAGAGAACTGGAAGCTTATTTCGGCTTTTAAAATCGTTTTGGTGATTCAAAACTTTGACCCTTTGTGGGGGAGGTACCAGAAGGAATGGTCCGATCTCTACCATCTTTATAACAGATCAGATTTAGACAATCGAACTCTCAGTTCCGATTTTTTAAGAGTTATAATTATTCCAAATGCTGACCCTTTGTTGGGGAGTTACTTGATGGAGTGGACCAATATTGTCCGTTCTCGCACTTGACCTAGCACTGATTAAAGAATTGGAACAAAATCGGATTATCCTTTCTTTCACTGTACAGTAAAATATTTTTTTGAAAATGTGGACCTTTTGTAAGGGAGGTACAAGAAGGAGTGGACGGATATTGTCCATCTCCTAAATAACTAACCATCTCCTGATAATACTATTACGATGTTCCAAGTATGAATTAAACGAGATACTGCCTTCGAGAGTTATCGTGCGCACTAGCCAGCCAAACGGACTGACGAAAACCCCTAGACCAAGTCCAAAAGACCTGAAACTGAGTTGGTCGAAAGAGACCTAGACCCTAAAACCGTTATTTCGAATAGGCACGTTTTGGCAGTATCAAATGATATATACCTACCATATGGCTGAGGGTATAAAAATAGTAATGAAATGACTGACTGACCGAGGATCAACGCCCATACGAAACGGATGAAGATAGAATATTGAAATTTTGCACGAAGATCGGTATGGTGTGTAGACATGTAATAAGTCTGTGTTTTTGGCAAATCGAAATGAAAGATTTCGACTTTTACAACGAATCTCCAATTTTAAGGTGGATTTTTCGTTGACGAAGTAGCCACTTTCTAGTAGCACTTTCTAGGATATTAAAAAATCTAAGGTTTCGGTATCATGGAACTTAGACCACTTCTCGAACCAATAACATTATTACATTTGACATAATTTAAATACAAAACTGTTCCAGTATTTTTATCCTTTTCTCTCTTTCTCTCACTCTCTTTTCAGCTATTTTCATATTCATCTCGGCGGGCATGCAACTGGCTTTGGGCCTCGGCTTTGAACCCTTATACAGTATCTATGGTAATGTCGAACATTTCCGATTTTCGTGGTTCATTGGCGTGATAATTGGGGCAGTGGCCTGTATGCCGCTGCTAATGTATGCGCCAAGAAAATGTGTAATGGTATGTGTGCGCCTTGCTCCGATCCTCAAAATATATAAACATATGTGTGTGCGTCTTGTCTTCCAGTTAACCTCGTCCGTTTTGATCCTAATCGAGGGTATTTTATTTACCAGTGCCCCCACCCGTGCTGATCCCCTGTTGGCTGGACGTTATCTCAATGGTATTGCTGTGGGTTTGGCCACCATTACATATCTCATGTATGCCAGTGAGATAGCTCCGAATCGCTATCGTGGATCCTGTTCGGCCATCGAACAATATTCCCTGACAATTGGCATTGCCATTCAAGTGATATATGCCACTCAATGGAATCTACTGCTAAAATTCCCCGTCACTCGGGTCCATGGCATTTTGGATATAATATTTGCCCTGGCCGCCGGAGTTTTGGCTCAGTTTTGTTTCATTGAATCACCCATTGTGGGGCTGCTGCAAAAAGATGAGGCTTCGGCATGGAATTCCTTGGCCCATTTAGAATTACCCAAGACGGTTAGTTCGGCTACCAAACAACGTTTCGAAGAACTCAAAGAATATGCCAGGGATGAGAGTAGTCTAGATCTAATGGATAATATTAAGCGGAGTGCTGTGCCGCTGGCCAAGATGATATTATTTCGCAGTGCAATATTGGCATTTAGTTTTTCGCTGCCGCTTAGTAGGGCATTGATAGAGGGCTCTGCCATGAACCACATTAATTGGCCAGCTATTGTGGCAGTCTGTTTGCGTATCTTCGGAGCGGGTATTGCTCACGTACAAATCGACTACATAGGCCGGAAGCTACCCTCACTGGTGTGTGCTGTCATCATTGGAGGACTGCTAATTGGTATCGGGGCCATTTGCAATAACTACATCAATTTGTACACCCAACGGCCAATGGCTATTGTTACATCGCTGTGTTTGTTGTTACAATTCTTTGCAGGAGCCTATGCCCCATTTACCTCGGTATATCTTGGAGAGGCATTTCCATTGAAACTAAAGGGATACTTTATAGCCGGATGTGTTGTGGTGGAGCAACTAATTCACATAATAGTTATCTGCTCGTACGTCCGGGTTAATGGTCCAGTTTTTATAGCACCAGGTGTAATAACTGTTTTGGCTGCCGTGGCATTGTTGGTAACAATGCCAGAGACCCGTAAAACCTCACTGATGGAGGCTCAAGGACGTTTCCGACATTTGCTATATTTAAAAATGCTTTGAGCAATGAATTGTGACTAGACGAATGATGAAGTTTGTTTAATTGAATTTTTTTAAATTATTTCATATTTATAGAGTCATGGACTTGAGATATTCACTGAATCATCTTCATCCAACTGATATCTGATGTTTAATTGTTTGTAAGAAAACTGAATAAAACAAGTGAAAAGATATCAGGACAAATTTCAATATTTTAAAAAAAATATATTTTTCAAGGGTGACCAAAAGGCGTGGACCTTTTAAAAATGTTTTTTCAAGGGTCATCAATAGGCGTGGATTTTTTTTTTAAAAATATTTTTTCAAAGGGCTATCAATAGGCGTGGATTTTTTAAAAACTATTTTTTAAGGGACATCAAGGGGTGGATTTTTTAATTTTTTTTTCAAGGGCCATCAATAGGCTTGGATTTTTCAAAAGTATTTTTCAAGGGTCATCAATAGATGCGGATTTACCCCCATCAAGGGGTGGATATTTAATTGTTTGTAAGAAAACTGAATAAAACAGGTGAAAAGATATCAGGCCAAATTTCAATATTTTAAAAACAATATATTTTTCAAGGGTCACCAGCAGGCGTGGACCTTTTAAAAATATTTTTTCAAGGGTCATCAAAAGGCGTGGATTTTTTTTAAAAATATTTTTTCAAGGGCCATCAATAGGCTTGGATTTTTCAAAAGTATTTTTCAAGGGCCATCAAGGGCTGGGTTTTTTAATTTTTTTTTTTTTCAAGAGCCATCAATAGGCTTGGATTTTTCAAAAAGTATTTTTCAAGGGCCATCAATAGATGCGGATTTATTTAAAAATATTTTTTAAGGACCATCAAGGGGTGGATTTTTTATTTTTTTTTCAAGGGCCATCAATAGGCGCGGATTTATTTAAAAATATTTTTATAAGGGCCATCAATAGGCGTGGATTTTTTAAAAACTATTTTTTTCAAAGGCCATCAATTGGCATGGATTTTTTAAAAATATTTTTTAAGGGCCATAGAGGGGCGGCTTTTTAATTTTTTTTTAAAGGCCATCAATAGGCGTAGATTTAAAAAAAAAAAATATTTTTTCAAGGGCCATAAATATTCGTGGATTTAAAAAAAAATATTTATTCAAGGGCCATTTTTCAAGGGACATCAATAGGCGTGGATTTTTTTAAAAATATTTTTTCAAGGAACATCAATAGGCGTGTATTTTTTTAAAAATATTTTTCAAGGGACACCAATAGGCATGGATTTTTTAAAAATATTTTTTCAAGCGTCATGAATAGACGTGGATTTTTTAATAATATTTTTTCAAGCATCATCAATAGGCATGGATTTTTTTTAAAATATTTTTAAGGGCCATTAATAGGCTTGGATTTTTTTAAAAATATTTATTCAAGAGACATCAATAGGCGTGGATTTTTTTAAATATATTTTTTCAAGAGACATCAATAGGCGTGGATTTTTTTAAAATATTTTTTAATGACCATCAATAGGCCTGGATTTTTTAAAAACATTTTCAAGGTCATCAACAGGTGTGGATTTTTAAAAATATTTTTCAAGGGTGTGGATTTTTTAAAAACATTTTTCAAGGTCATCAACAGTTGTGGATTTCGTGGAATTTTTTAATTTTTTTAAGGGCTATCAATAGGCGTGGATTTTTTATTATTTTTTCATGGCCCATCAATATGCATGGACTTTTTTAAAAATATTTTTTCAAAGGGCTTTCACTAGGCGTGGAATTTTTTAATTTTTTTAAGGGCCATCAATAGGCGTGGATTTTTTAATTTTTTTAAGGGTCATCAATAGTGGATTTTTAAAAATTTGGATTTTTAAAAAAAAAAAATTTTAAGAGGTAAGGATAGAATCTTGAAATTTTGGGTCCGAAAGGGTTCGATAAAGCTGATTTTATTGGAAATTCGTATTAGAACGGTATTTAATATATTAAAAGATACTAAATATGGTACACCAAAGGATTATTTGAAAGTCTATGGGGTTTTAACAGTTTAAAGTGACGTCTCTACTCAGTATTGTTAGGTAAATCATGAATAGGTTAACTTCAGAACAACGCTTCTAAATCAATTAAAAATGTTTATAGAGCACTTCGTGGATTTTGATGGTGCACACAATCGTCGGTTTGAGACCACCATAAAGAACATAATTACCACATTTTGGAGCAAAGATAATTCACACGTCGTTTAAGAGTTACCAATGCATCTCTATAAATGTACTGTTTGAGAGGTCTATGAGCTGGTGGACTCACCGGTCCTTATTTCTTAAAAATTAAGAAGGACAACGCAATTTATGTGATTTCACCCCTCTGTGGCCATTAGGCATATATTTTGTTTTAATGAGAGTACATTATCCTCTAGATCTTCCTTTAATTAATTGTTTTATGTTTTTTTTTTTTTGCACAGTATAATCTTCAATGAGAAAAAAAATTAATAAATTCATACTTAAGTTCACAAATCGTTGACATTAATTGTCAAAATTCGTCTAAATTCGTCACATTTGAATATAAGCTTTCTAAAAGAATTTCTTTATGACATAACATTATACGTCTATTTTTAGAAAAGAAAAAAAAAAAACAATCATCAGCATCATCATCATCATCTAATGAAAAAAGGCCATTCACTTGTCATCGCACATATGAAGGCAAATAAATATTTTGTCACATCATGTCCGTTAATTAAGCCCCGCCACAATTGAATTGAACTCTGCCGTATAACCAGAGGCAAATGGCGGTCATTTTGATGATTTTCTTTGAGTACTTCTTTTCATATTTTAATTATGTATACACATGAATAACTACAATGGACATTTCAGTAGGAAAGTACAGGGTGAGAGGAAAAAACTGCAACCAACTGTAGACATTTGTCATTTCAGAGCCACTCGTCCAACAGCTGTAAAAATTATTCCAGTGACTGCTCATTATATTGTTTACAAGCGTACAAGAGCATTTTGGTAAGAATTTTCCAGAAAAAAAGCTATTCGTGATGGAATTCAAGCGTGATAGTGTGATTTCTTCAGGTTTGGCTGGAAAAGCACAGGTGGCTATGGTTAGACACTCCTGCATTTAAATGTGAATAAATCTTTTGTGTCTCGTACCATCGCTCGTTGCAGGGATACTGGTAGCCCGTAGCCCGAAGTCAAGGAAGTGGACGGAAGAAAACTGCAACATCAACAGAAATGGTTCGAAAAGTAAAGAAGCGACTTGATCGAAACTCGCGTCGCAGTGGCCGAAAAATGGCTCGTGAGCTGAACATATCGCAATATTCCATTCGGCATACATTGAAAAATGAGCTCGGGGTAAAGGCATTGAAATTCCAAAAAGTACAAGAACTTACACCGCAACAGAAAGAAAATAAACTAAGGAGTTGCTTCGCTTGGCAGAAAGTGGTGAACTGCCGAATTTGTTTTTCTCCGCATCAATTTGTAAACAATCAAAATTATCATGTTTCTTGCTAAAGAAGTCAGCTGAAAATGTGCACCTTCGGTTGGCCACCAGAACTCAAGCGCCGGCCATGGTGATGGTGTGGGCCGCCATAACAGCCGATGGTCGCTCTCCGCTCGTATTAATCGATATTGAAATAAATGCCGAATATTATTGCGAAAATATTCTGGAGGGTTTATAAAGCCTTGGACAGATCCTTGGACAGTCTAACAGGGTTCAGCACCACCGCACTCGGCACGCGCCTCCAAAGAATGGCCACCAAAATCTCCGGATACATCTCCGTTGGACTTTTGTGTCAGAAGTATTTTTGGAAAGCCAGGTTGGTACTAAAAAATACCAAAGTGTCGATCACCTCAAGCAAGCGCTTCGCCAGGAATGGGCCAAAATACCGCAGAGCAACCTTCGGGCAGCGTGTGATGGTTTCATTGGCTGTTTGAAGGCCATAATTCGTGCCAAAGGTGACCAATTCGAACAAATCTAAACTTATTCTAAAATTTGATGCTATTTCCGACATTTTTTGCTTCCATTCAATAAAATTAAAAAAAAATAAAACATCGATCCACTCCATCAAGTATCTGCCCCCAATTTTAAATAATTATAACTTTTATGAAATGTGATGTAAGAGCCCGATCGTCTTCAAATTACTCACATCACAATATTTTCATTAACCCAAGGTCTGGTGGGAAGATGGAATATATCGGTAAAATCCTTCTGATACCTCCATCACAAAGGATCAACATTTTGAATACCCATGAAGCTCATAAAGCGCGAAATTAACATCCGATTCCATACAGACTTGGTACGTCTCAATATTTCCATAAACACAGGATCTCATATAAATATGGTAGAGATCGGACTATTTCTTCTGGTTCCTCCCCCACATAGGGCTCAAGATTTTAAAAACAAAACGACCCTAAAATCCGATATAAACATCCGATTCTCTTCATATTTTACACATCCCGTTGCTTCTACTAACAAAAGATCTGCTGTGAAGATGAAATATATCGGTCCACTTTTAATGGTACCTCCAGCACAAAGGGTCAAAATGTTGAATATCCATTGAGCTTTTAAAACGGGAAATTAACTTCCGATTTCATTCAGACTGGTACGTCTCAATATTTCCATCAACACAAGATTTGTTATAAAGATGGTAGAGATCGGACGATTTGTTGTGGTACATCCTCCCCAAAGGGTTCAAGACTTTGAAAAACAAAACGCTGCGAAGTAAGAGAGTTGACTTTAAATTTACACATCTAAATATCTTTGCTAAAGCAAGATCTGTTTTGAAGAGGATATATACATGTACCAACCCCTTCTGGTACCTCACCCACAAACGGTCAGAATTTCCCATGCTTATACCTGTTATAACTTGCAAAACAAATCGGAGATTCTTTACAACTTGCTATATCTAACAAGTAAGCAAAGGCTATAGTCGTGCGGGGCCGACCATGTGATACCCAACAACACTTCAATATGTTAAAAGCTCCCTTATGCCCAAATCAATTTTGGAAGATTTCGCTTTAAAAATTATGTCACGGAGCCCTGCCCAGATATTACACTTAGCATTTTGACCAGGGACATTTCACCAATATTTACGCACTCCGTCGTGCTGTTGGTTTTTGTGGTCCATTTTACGGCTAAATATAATCCAATGGTCATCCAAAATTCCAGAATTCTTCCCTGTGCCTAACTATGTTCTCAGGCGTGTCGATTGGCTTCAATTGTGTGATCAGGACATTTTTTCTGTTTTTGG